GTAAGAGTCCCTTCCAGGACTGTTTCGTCCAGCTTCTTACCCTTTAGCTGCTTGACATCAGGTCGCGACTTAATGGCACGTTCCGCATCCAAGGCGTTGTCAGCGTAGCTTTGGAATTGCGCATCGCGCACACGAAAGATATAACCGTGGGAAGCCAGAATTTTCAGGGTAGGATGTAATAGCGCCGGCTGTTCGGAGGTGTGCTCATCATCGCCATTCATCTGTTCTTCGGTCTCTTCGCCTTCGGTTTCCTGTTTCACGCCATTCGCTTTAGGTGGTGCGGGTTGTAGTTCCGGGATGGTTTCTAGGTGGCCGACTTGTGCGTGTCCGAGATACATAATGGTTTCCATAAGGGTAGCCGCATACTTCCCAAGCCGTTCTTCAATAAACTCCAGGATCTTGCCAGAGCGAACAAGGTAATATGCAGCCTGAAGGTTTGGTTCGTAATAGGTAACGCCATCGTCGTAGGAAGTGTAATGGTACACCAGGTGGTGTTGAATCATGGCGGAAAGTCCATGACGAAGTTGACGATCGGAGAGGCGCGAGTAGAACTTTAGTCGCGGTAATGAGAGCCGGTCATAGCGCTGGAGGGTTGAGAAGATACGCTGGCGAAGACAGATGACGGTCAGCCTGTTGCTCGATGTGGCCCGCAAATTGACACCGACTATATGGTTTTTCGTGGATGCAGCGGGTTACCAAGTGAGCAAAAGCGAGCATACCGCAAAAAGCTCCCCAAAATTATCCTCGACCAAGAGCGCACATAGCTCTGCCGCGTACTGTTACTCAGACCATTAGCAGTGGTTAAAGATGAGGGGCGGGAAGAGAGGGGAGGGGGAATTGATCGCATACTTGGGAAGTCATGATGGATGGCTTCTAGAGAATGCGAAAAGCTTCAATTCTCTAGAAGGGAGGGGAAGGTCACCGAGGGAATCGCATGAGGTAAAGTGCAAGAAAGGAACGACAGGCGCGAAATGGAGAAGCCGGAGCAACGATGATCAAGATTGGGGATACTTTTTTTCGGCAATCGGAGAAGGAGAGAGAGCGTGATCTGCAAAATGTCATGGTGATTTTCAGCCTGAGGCAACCATGTATTACTACTTTGCACAGGACAACTGCTCACATAAGGAATCAGGTGACCCGGAGGACGAGGAAAAGCCGGTTCCGCCCGCACTCGCATTTCGGGCCAATCACGGGGCGAGTAATCAAGACCAGCCGGCATCTTGAAGCTTTTCAGACATCGTTTCTGATCCGCCCAACGACCGCCAGCAGCCTTCCCCTGCTCCCACTCCTCTCAACCCTCCCAATTGCTGTCGAGCTTCTCGGCTAACCATTCTCCTCGCCCTCCTCTATTCCTCTCACACATGCGATGATGCTGTCGCGGTCTACTTTCAGCCGGAATGCGCCCCGTGCGCTCCAGAAGCAGTGCTCTGCTGCTGGTGCCAGCAGCCGTCGGGGCATGGCCTCTGCTGCCACTCCTGGTCTCCAGTACGATGTCTCTGAGTCTGCTGGTGTGAAGGTCGCCAACCGGGAAGTTGCTGGCCCTACCAGCACCCTTGCTCTGGTTGCAAAGGCTGGTCCCCGTTACCAGCCCGTCCCTGGCTTCTCCGATGCCCTCGAACAGTTCGCTTTCAAGGTTCGTCCTTCCTGCCTTCAATCCGACATCCACGCTCTCTGCTACACTATTTTCTAAGGCAATTGCTAACCAATTCTTCTTATCAATGTAACAGTCTACGCTGAAGCGCTCGGCACTGCGGATCAATCGGGAAGTCGAACTGCTGGGCGGTGAAGTTTCCTCTACACACTCTCGCGAGAACGTCGTCCTCAAGGCCAAGTTCCTTTCTGGCGATCTCCCCTACTTCGCTGAACTTCTCGCCGAGGTTGCTTCTCAGACCAAGTTTGCAGGTGAGTAAGGAGACAACGGGAATATGCCGCCACCCCTTCCCCCTCCTCCAAATGTCAGACGAACCGGTCTAATTCGGCTTCTCAGCCCACGAGTTGAGCGAGGTTGTCCTCAAGACCCTCAAGTACAGACAACAGGCCCTTGCCGCCAACCCCGAGGCCCTCGCTGTCGATGCCGCTCACGCCGTCGCCTTCCACCGTGGCCTCGGTGAGAGCATCACCCCCTCGACCACCGTTCCCCTCGAGAAGTACCTCTCCGCTGAGGCTCTGGCTGAGTACGCTCAGCAGGCCTTTGCCAAGTCCAACATCGCTCTTGTTGGCAGCGGTGCCAGCTCCGCCGACGTCTCCAAGTGGGTTGGTGACTTCTTCAAGGCCGTCCCCAGCGGTGCCCAGCTCCAGAGCGCTGCCTCCAAGTACTACGGTGGTGAGCAGCGTGTCTCCACCAAGGCCGGTAACGCCCTTGTGATTGCCTTCCCTGGCTCCGGTGCCTTCGGAACCGCTGCCTACAAGCCCGAGGCCTCCGTCCTCGCTGCCCTCCTGGGTGGTGAGTCCTCCATCAAGTGGACCCCCGGTTTCTCCCTCCTCGCCCAGGCCACCCAGGGCTTCTCCCAGGTCCGTGCCTCGACCCAGAACCTGACCTACTCGGATGCTGGTCTCTTCACCATTGCTCTCTCCGGTAAGGCCGACCAGATCACTTCTGTTGGTAAGAACGCCGTCGACCTTCTCAAGAAGGTTGCCGCCGGTGAGGTTGCCGCCGAGGAGATCAAGAAGGCCGTTGCCCTCGCCAAGTTCCGCGCTCTCGAGTCCGCCCAGACCCTTGAGACTGGTGTCGAGGCTACCGGTTCCGCTCTCATCAACGGCAGCAAGCCTTACCAGATTGGTGAGGTTGCTCAGAGCATTGATGCCGTCACTGAGGCTCAGGTCCAGGATGTAAGTTTATCAATTCACCTCCTCTTGCTTTTTGCGGCAATAATTATTTGGGGGAACAATGGCTAATGTTTTATACACAGGTTGCCAAGTCTTTCCTGTCTGGCAAGGCCTCCGTCGCCACTGTTGGAGACCTCTTCCAGCTCCCCTACAGCGAGGACCTTGGTCTGACTGTTTAAACATGTATACAATACATCTTAGACTGGCTTTGGAAAAAACCGAACACCCCCTCTATTTTTTATCATGTGTCTAGATCGACCTTTCCGCAGATATTCTCTTTTGTGATGTGGCTGTAGTTGTGTGTCTGTAATACAATTGTACCTTAACCCATCTTTGTTCAATACCTCTCTCGCTGCGATGTAGGCTGCTTGCAGTAACTTACTGTGAATAGTTTTGGAAAACACAATTTGCAAAATGTATCGAATTTGATTTCTCCGGTATAGATTTCCCCCCTTTTCTTCCTTGCTGTTGCTATATGTCCGATAAACGGAGGGATATACTTTTATATCATAGTAGTCTTAGTAGTATTGAGCACGTCTAATAGAGTATTGGTACTACTCCATCATGGAACCATAACCCCCAGTATGTATGTATATATATATATATATATATATCATATAGTAGTACTACACCATTTTTTTTTTCATTCAGTAGCACCTAAGTAATAACCATCTCATATCAATTCTACACCACATGATACTCAGCATTGAACTGAAACCCGACACCCCGATACACAAAGCATGCCCCAAAAAAACGTCTCAACAAGTTTGTGACCAATCGATAGGTAAAAATACTAATTGAAGTCATCCTTGTGAACATTGTCAATAGTCGGAATATATAATCGGCATCAGTCGTACTGTTCGACTGCGGCACCTTCCGCTTCTAACTCAATGATGTAAACATAGTAATATATATACTAGTACTCTACTAACAATATCAACACAAAGATAGTATTAATGCTACTCTGGACCAGCATATGCATAGTAATGCTATATTACCAGTCTTACCTACCTGTCTGTTACTGCTCATTACTAGTAAGTACTGATATACTATGTATCAAGTCCCGACTGCCCTACCCCGAAAGCATCACCAAAGTCACCCACCCGTCTTCCTCTTTCACTTTCACTTTAACAACCCATTCACAACCATCAACCACCCAATAAAAGACAGGAACTTATCGATGATTCCTTCATATAAAAAGAAGGTACTGTACATAAATGCATCGGCTCGTCCTAGAATTCACCGGCACTGTTTACTACATAGTATTTCTACATACACAATCCACACAGATACATCCAATCACAAAGTAAATCGACAAATGAATAGATAGATACCATAGATATGGGCATTCAACTGAACTGCTAAGACACACGTGCTTACGACACCCATAATGCCGCCAATCACCTGACCCAAATTAGAACAGGGATGCCCACATATGCAGTAGTACATGACTTAGTGAGACACGCCATCATAATCATATGCAAGCCATGACTGGGATGCTCGGAGGATAGTTACCGTAGAGGGTTCACCGAGAAGAGAAAAAAAAAAGAAAGGTATCATGATTCAGACAAAAGTACATACATATACTATACTAGTCTATATTATCATATGCGATATCGGAAATTTTTGGTTAGGAGGAGAGGGGTAAGGTCCGTATTTTGGATACATGCATACTAGTCTATACTATACTATACTCGAGTAAGATGATCGGATGGTAAGGCTGTGGGTGTCAGCCAACCGGCCCTGGAATTCGGGTTTTGGAAGAGATTAAACCCGCGCAATATGACAGATGACGGACGGATGGATTGATTGATTGTCACTTTCATTTAGGACTGTGTAAGATAGCCGTGTGGGAAGGGGAGAGGCCCGGGCTTGCCCACATTCCCGAAGGGGCCGTTGGCTGACTGGAGACTACTGTCATTCCTCAGCCGAGAGTAGGCAGGACGGGCATTTACGCCGGAATAGATAGTAGCGAGCTTGTGAATCTACCTAGGTATGTGGTGGCTGGCTCTACTGTGTATTTATTCCACTCTGTTCTTCCTCGGTAACACGGGATATGTGGATGTGATGAATTGGGAAAATGCATAACAAACAAACTAACGGCATCAGAACACAGGTGGGCAATTGTGCATGTGTATCTCTCCGATGAATAGTCAACGTATGGTCAAAAATGGCCTCATGGTATATGGAATATATTAACATTATTATGCTAAGGTAGTTTTGGTTTCATAAGACTTTCTTGCGGCATGCTCGTCGGCACCTATGCATAGCTAGCTACGGACCGAGCAAGTTCCACACCGTATGGGTAAGATTATCTAGCATCCGCTCCTCCGACCGAGACCGCGCATGGCAGAAGGGTATCTCAAACCTTCTCTAGTGCTTAGCGGTGACTTTGTCGCCCGTCAGTTTTTCGACTGCTTCCTTGGCCCTGTTCGGGGTAACGGAGACCCACACGTTAGCTCCAGTTCACTCCTCGGTTATCACATGAAGATCGGGGCGCCACCCCCGTAGGAAGTGCTCCGCCCGGGGTATTGATAATGCAAGAGAGGGGAAAGTTTGTTCCACTTACATGTCACCAAGTGCCACCATGCAGACGGTCTGCCAGATTCCCAGACCCACACGGGGAGCCACACCCCGGTACAATCCCTTGATGCCGTTCTGGTCGTAGATGTACTTGGCGGCCTTGCCCACGGTGAGGTTCTTGGGGCGGTTGGGGTCATCAGTCTTGCTCTGCATCTCGACACGGATCACCTCAATGGGCTGGTTCCAGGCAGAGAGACCACCACCGAGACCGGAAGCCAGGATCTTCTCAAACGCGTTGAGCTTCTGACCCTCATCCTTGTTGGTGACCTTGCGAATAGCGGATTCAGCCAGGCGAGAGAAACCGAAGCGGGATCCCCAGTTGGTGGTCTGGCGAATGGCAACGGCGTTGACACCACGGTTGATACCACGAATGCCCTCCTTGCGGTAGATATCCATAAAGGTCGCGAAGGTGCTGGGGGGCTTGACGCCCTGGGCGGCCATCTTGTGCTTGGTGATCTCAACGGTCTTCATGCAGGTACAGAAACCCATGGTCGCGTATGCCTGTGCGATACCACCGACCATACCTCCAGCGATACCGGCGGCGAAGTCGGGCGCACCAAGCACCTTGGCACGGAACTCCGCCTCCGATGCGACGAAGAGGAGGACGGCGCCCTTAGTGGAGGCCTCAATCCAGGCCCACGGAATGAGACCTTGATAATCTAGAGTAAATGACGAGTGTCAGACAATACTACCCCACACTAGTCGGAAAAGCGAAGGTGGAGGAAAGAGCACTTACAACCGAGGATCCCGCCACGGCCCCAAATTCGACCCATAGCACCAGCGAAGCTATCGCCCCGGTTTGCAGCCATGGTCGTCTTGATCACTTCCAGCGGCTATTGAAATGGAGTTAGCATAAGCCGACAATTGCCGCTTCGGTTATTGCTTCGTACCTGACCCAAAGTGGTGACCCTATTCTATGTTAGTTATGAAACTCACGGTGCGCTGAAAGAAGTGGGTGAGAAGGGAAAACATACTCAAAGAGGTTCAATCCAGCACCCACTGTAGCAATGCCATCAGAACCAATTTCCTTCAAACCGCTAATCGTCCGGGGTTGTAGCAGATATTACATACGTAGCAGATTGCTGAACTTCACGGGCTTCTTTTCGAGCTGTTTCTGGCCAGTGGCGGCCGTCGCGGCAGTAGCGGTAGACATATCTGACCTTGGGAGCGCTGAAAGGGGCCCTGACCAAGGGAAATCTGGGGGCTTCGTCGCCTTAAGGGATCACGAAGAATCGGAAGGTAGTCTGCGGGTCGGAAACGTCAAGGACGAACGACCAGAAGCGAAGTCGGTTTTGGTTGTTTGTGGATGGAAGAAGGTGAGTTCGGAGGCAGGTGACACTGATGAGGAGGACAGGCCAAGTAAGCAGGTAGCTCCGGGGAAGGTATCGAGTATATGTACGGTAGAAGCAGTAGTATGTATGTATGAATGAAGATGAGGGAAGAAGATGAAGGAGAAAAAAGAGGAAAAAGGGAAATTATAAGAAGGATCAACGAGGGGGTGGGACGGCCTTCCAGGTAGAGCATACGTACCTATCGATTCAGATGGTGGTTTTTTTTCTCCCAATTGCAGGTCAAAGAGTTGCTTTTTTTGTCTGGCGTGGGCGCATCCAAGCACTCCGTACCAAGGAGTACTCCGTAGTAATGAGCACACTCACCACCGCAACAACCAGGAACCCAATGAGATCCAATCACCGCCCGCCATCGGCCGATTGGGGATGGCGCTAAACCTGATCAAGGCACAGCGGCCACTAGCCTGCTTCGGGCCCGGCGGTGAGCCACAGCCGAGGGCTTCAGTTGAGGCCCGGAGCAAACCGGGCTCCCCCCCAACAAACACCCTAGAGCTGCATTCATTTTCCGAAACGGTTGAGAGGGTCGATCGGGGGGACCCACGTCCAGCTGGCCCTGGAATGATAGTAGTCCCAAACTATCTATCTATGGAGTATCTATCTACCTCCTACAATAATAATAATCCCATCTAGATTCTACTACTAACCTACTTGGCACCAAAAAGGGAGAGAGGTAGATAGTCCGGAGTACGGAGTAGTCCCCTCCCTTCCGCCCTTCCCCCATAGCAACCACGATCATGGGAGGATCAGAAGGAGGATCCGCCAGGATCTCTGAATACGCCCGGACTACGGCGCCCGTAGTAGTAGTTACTATGTATATGCTTGTCTCATACGGAGTACTCATCATACTCATCATTCCTTTAGATATTCCAGTCTGGCTTACCTCACTCACGGTCCGTAGCTCGTATTGTTCCGCTTGAACGATGGAGTGCTCCGGAGGTCACCAATGGCGCCCCGAACCTCTGCAGTTAGCGTTGGCTGATATAAAGTATCTAAATAAGTCAATGTAAATTTTCAATTCATTCTCCGAAACCTGATTGAAACCCGATGCATCTTCAATTTACCCTGCTGCCTGACTGGCTATGTTGTTCGACGATCAGTCCGCGGAACTTTTTCACCTTCGGCCTATGATTTGACCGATATGCAGACCTGCACTGCAGCCAGCTCGACACTGGTGGCACTAATCACGTATGTTTCTCGACCGCGCCGATCCCACTCCTCTTAGCCTCTCCCTACCTGATTCTTATCTTCGGCATCCGACTTGCAATGTCAGCTTGCCCCTCTCCGCCCCCCTTACGCTTGCTGGTCTGTCACTCCGCGATACACTGTCCCGGGGTCCAATACGAAATAAGAATCAGAAGACGATTGACTTGGAATTTCTCAAGTGCTGTTTGTTACAAGGCCCGCTCGAACCGTGTCCTATCATACATTAATCGAACAAACCCCAACACTTTAAAAATCGTCCCCAGTCACAAAAATACTAAACCAGAACAGGGTAGGCATAATACAAGATGCTGTGTTTATCGTAAAAAGAAATAAGAATCACCTCCGGTTTTTCATGTCATCCCAAACTCATTTACAGCTTAGCACCAACAAGCTTGGCGAAAGCCTCAGTGCTGTAGGACTTGGGGCGCTCAATGGGGGCACCAAGGGCACGGTCGATGATCAGCTGGGGAAGGACACCCAGAGCACGGGAAACACCGAAGAGGACGGTGTAGTAGTTGGCCTCAGTCAGGCCGTAGTACTGGAGGAGGACACCAGAGTGCTACATATCGGTCAGTACACTGGTCGCGCATGCAACTGAAGCGCAGGTTCACGAGGCAACTTACAGCATCGACGTTGGGGTAGGGGTTCTTGGTCTTGCCGTGCTCGGTCAGGACACCAGGAGCGATCTTGTAGACCTGGCTGACCAGCTTGAACATGGGGTCATCGGGCAGCTTGCGAAGAGCGAACTCGCGCTGAGACACGTAGCGGGGGTCGGTCTTACGAAGGACGGCGTGACCGTATCCGGGAACGACCTGGCCGGCGTTCAGGGTGGACCAGAGGTAGTTCTTGATGGCCTCGTCGCTGAGGTCGTTGCCAATGGCGGCCTTCATCTTGGTGAGCCAGTTAAGGACTTCCTGGTTGGCCCTGTGCGATTGGAAAAAGAAAACATTAGCGAGATCGCTTCGATTTGATGGAAACCGAAAGAGTTTGAAACTTACAATCCGTGGAGAGGACCAGCCAGACCGTTCAGACCAGCGGCGAGAGAGAGCATGGGGGAGCTCAGAGCGCTACCAACAAGGTGGGTGGTGTGAGCACTGACGTTGCCACCCTCGTGGTCGGAGTGGATGGTCAGGTAAAGACGCATGAGCTCAACGAAGTCGTTGTTGTCGCCGTAGCCGAGCTGGTTGGCCAAGTTGTAGGAGTAATCCTTGTCCTTCTGGATAGGAGCGACCTTGCCATCCTTGAAGACGTTGCGGTAGATCTTGGCAGCGATGGTGGGCAGCTTGGCAATGAGGTCCATGGAGTCCTCGAAGGTGTAGTTCCAGTAGTCCTTCTTGTTGATACCCTTGGCATAGGCCTTGGCGAAGGCAGACTCGTGCTCAAGAGCGGTGACGGCCAGAGAGAACTGGGACATGGGGTGGAGGGTGCTGGGGCAGCGGTCGATGAGCTCCTCAATGAACTTGGGGAGGTCGGAGCGGGCAGCCCACTCAGCAGACAGGTCGCGGACCTGCTGCTCAGTAGGGATCTCGCCAGTCAAGAGGAGCCAGAAGAGACCCTCAGGAAGAGGCTCCTGACCACCGGGAGCCTTGGGGAGGAGCTCCTGGCACTCGGGGATCTAAAGAACTGTCAGTATAAATTTCGAATAGTTCTTCGGTTGTTCGCAACTTACGGTACGGCCACGGAAACGGATACCCTCCTCAGAGTCGAGGACGGAACCCTATCGAAGTCAGTTAGACAGACTCCTCAAGATTTATTGACCAGGTCCTCATCATACCTCCCACACGAGGCACTTAACACCACGGGCACCACCATAGGCCTGGTCAAGAGTGACCTCGCCGATGACCTTGCTGCCGTGCTCCCTACAAACATTGATTGACTGGTTAACAAGGCCTGTAGAGAAAAGGGTCGGACGGGGAGCTGTGCGTACTTGCGGAGCTTCTTGACCTTCTCGAGCTCGGCAGGGAGCTTCTCAGCGAAAGTCTCCTTCAAGGACTATAAAAAAAGAAAAGCATCAGTATGGATGTTCGATGAATGATTGTTATCGAGGTAAAACGAACCTTGGCCTTGCCGGTAGAGTAGCAGCGCAGGCCATTGAAGGCAGCAGACTGAACAACCGGCTTAGCGGCAATGGAGGAGGAACGGAGAGCAGAGGTGCCCAGTCTCAAGGTGGAAGCCATGGCGAATGTGAACAACTTGCAGTAAGTTGAGTGGTTGGAAGGAAAGAAAGAGAGGAGAGAAAGAGGGTATATCAGGACACGGTAGGAGAAAAGAAAAAGGAAGATGGGCCGCACGGTGTTCCCAAGTTATGGAGAAGCTCTTTTGCGCGGCCCTTTTTTTCCATCTGGCCGTACTAATACAGCCGGTACGCGGACTGTACGGTAACGCACGGCAACGCCGTGCGGTAATGGTGGGCGGCTGTATCTTACGGTCACACTAGTCTCAACCCGGCCGATGTCCCGAGTCTGAGCCAGGATTTCGGCGCGCTTTTCAGCGGCAATCAGAAGGATCCATCATGTTTTGGTGGTGACCCTTACCCGCTTGATTCCGTTGTACGGAACGGAGTCCGGAGTAAAATCCTCTCTTTCCTTGCGTTTTATTTCTTGGTCTGTGTGTACTTTTACGCTATGTATTTACTATTACAACCTTTAGAGTTCTACCCATGTCATTCTTTCATACTTGCTCGAGCTTATGCGTGTCCGTTCAAAAGCAAAGCCCAGAGCTGTCAATTGTGATCAAACGGTCAACCATGCATGTGTTGGAATATAGATATAGGCACTGTAATGCCGCCTCGGGCTACTATTATTGTGACGATCATCGGCGCCGTCTCATCCGTAAACGGAGTGCCACAGTAGAGCTGTTGGTCCATGGCTAGTGACGTCGGCAGTCGCCATCTCATCCACAATTTTGCCCACCCATTGAGTTTCCATGGGCACGGATTTCCCCAGCCATAACAACAATACAAGTATGTAGTGGTATTACCTTACACACCTTGCTCGACATATATAAGTTCAGACCTTTATTACTCATGATTGAAGATTTGCATGGTCACAAGGGGTACTAGTACAAACTGTGAAGGATACTCGTGATTGCGGTTGGAAAGTGAAGTAAGCAGTAAGGGAAAATATCCAAATTCCTGAGTCCTAGCCTGTAAGAACTAAGAACAGAGTTCTCATGGTTAACTACTTGTTAAGTGTCTCCGTTGTAAATGTTTCCAGGGGTTAATGGAGTACTCTGTAAGGTTTCTCAAACGGTGGGACGGTCTTCATTTGTTGTGTAGAAAATCGGTTACCTAACATGATGGGGAAGCCCAGCGCATTACCTCATTCGACTCACCGAACTGCGATTCATGCACCTGTTTCATGCTTTGGCGGGACTTATGTAAGGATTGCATATCTCGTTCAAAAAATGCAAATCACGTGCTACTATGCAGATATGGCAGCCTGAGGCAAAAGAAAAGAAAAATGGCTGGGCATACCCGGCTCACTCACTTGTTTTTAGGTGTTGCTGCCCGTTCGAGTTTAGCGCAGATATATGCTGATTTTTCTCCTCACCTGACTGACCACCTTTACTACCTTCAACGAAATCCCTTCCCTTTCAACTCCCTTTCTATCCTTTCTTCATCTCTTCTGCACCGTTTCTCATCCCCCACTCTTTTCTGCAGCAAAGTCGGCAAATCTGTAATATCCGCCTTTGCATCTTTTTTGTTGCGCTCAGCTCTTCGCTTTTTTTTAGGTCGTACTCTGTACACGTACTCGTTCGCGAGTTGCAAGGCCCTGGACAGCATCGCTTGGCTGTGCTCCAGCTGTAGGCGGAAGGCCCCCCTGGTCACCAGAGTACGCTCGTGGAGTCTGTAGTGACACGACCAGAAGTCCGCTTAGGAAATCACTTTCCATCATATTTGGGAGGCCACGACCCTGCAGGTTGCTGATATTCCTCTCTTAAGCATCACCACCACCTTAGCTGCGCTGGATCTCCCAGTAGTAACAGCTCATTGGGAACTTGGTACTATCCGGTCGCGTTTACCATATACTTGAAAAGCGATAGTCTTAACAGAAACCTGTTGCGTGTATCCTGTTCTCCCCGTACTGGATTCGAGTCAACACCCAAAATCTCATCCACCATGTCGTCTGCTGTAGCAGAACTGGATAACTACCTCCAGTCTATGCTGGCACTCAAGCCCCCGGGTGTTTCAGGCTCTAAGATCAACAGTATTACGTCGCTTTGCACGGCAAACGTTCAGGTATTACTTTCCACTTCCGCCATTTTTTTTTTAAATCACTTTATCAATAGAAATTCATGCTAATTCATGATTCTTCTCTTGTCACAGAATGAATCCGTTCTCATCCAGAAGATCTATACACACTTCAAGAAGGCACCAGGAACACACAAATTGGGCGTACTCTATGTCGTAGACTCTGTAACTCGACAATGGGTAGAAGCAGCGCGCAAGGCAGGACAGCCATCCGGTAGTGCTGCTCCCGATGGTACTTTCGCCGCTGGTGTCAACAGAGTGACCGAATTACTACCTGTCCTCATGACGGACATCATAAACAACGCTCCTGAAGATCAAAAGGTACGCTCTAGATGCAATACGCATATTATATCATCAAACATTCACAGTGGCCGCGGGCAAGCATATGGCCGTTAGGAAGCCGGGGTTTGCTTTGAAGAAACCCTTGGTGGTGGCCTGCTTTAAGAGTTGATATACGTATCTCCTGCTGTATAGCCCAAGCTGCCATGCATAGTATTCGTGGCCGCTGTGCTCCCTTCCCCCCTCTCTGCCTCGTTTTTCTCTTCTATCGTTGTCTGGTGACGAATAGTCCAACTTACGTATACGTCCGCCTCTCCTTATAGGAAAAAATCAAGAAACTGGTCGACATTTGGGAACGGGGCTATACTTTCCCTGCTCCCATGCTTGCCTCGTTCAAGGAGAAGTTAAACGCACCCCCATCACAAAGTAAGCAATATTATCCCCTCCAGCTGATGCTTCCTTGTATCTCGGCGTGGTCAAGCCGAGCGGCCCTCTAGAACCGCCTGTCTTCATTTGACTCGAAAAATTGTCCTGGTATAGTCTCTAATCGTTCTTCTTTTATCTGCTATCTAGATGTGGAATCTACTACCCCGGAAGGCTCGCCAGCACCCAACTACATGCCGCTGGGAGGTCAACAGCAGCCGCTTAACGGTGTGCCTTCAACCACTTCTGCTCAACAGGCGCCAGACACCTCCAGTATTCTAAAGGCCCTGGCCGACATGGCCAAGCAGAACACAACAGCCCCCGCAGCCCCGGCCGTGGCGGCACAGACTAACCCTCTTAATGCTCTGACCCAGCAAAGTACGGTTCCGCAGCCCGCGTCATCATCCGTAGACCAGGCTTCACAGGGCCCGAATGGACAGGCTGGTGTAAACCCGTATGCTGCTGGAAGCATGGCGACCCCGTTCGCGGGATTGAGTAGCGTTGCTCAAAACCCGGCATTGGTGCCGCCGCCGCCGCAGACCCAGAGCCAGAACCACACCCCCAACCCGTTGGCAGCAGCGCAAAACCCACTGGCCGCGCTACTGCCGCAGGCGACTGCAGCTCCGGCTCAGCCGACTGCCCCGATCGGGCCTGATGCACTGCAGCAGCAGCTCCAGCTCCTGCAATTGCTGGCTGCCCAAGGCATTCCTCAAGAGCAGTGGGCCACAGCCCTGCAGATTCTCAGCCTGTCCAATGCCGCCGGTATGGGTGGAATGACCGCCGGTCAGGCTCCTCCGCCTTTCAATCTGCCCGGTCAGCCCGTTGCCAACGCTTGGGGCGCTCGGCCCGACTCCCAGTCACGTGAATTCGACCGGGACCGTGAGCGTGATCGCGATTACATGCGCTCCCCTCCTGGCCAGTACCGCCGCCGTTCTCGCTCCCCCGGTTGGGACAGACGTCGTGAAGCCTCCCCTCCTCGTCGTCGTGACAGCCCTGTCTATGGTGAGTACCATGGCGACTCCCCGGGACGTCGTGGTGGAGACCCGCGCGGTCGCAGAGGAAATGAGTATCGCCAGCGCAGCCCTCCTGGACGCCGTCGTCGCACTCCTTCTCCTCCTCGCAAGGATCCTACCCTGCCTCCCCCAGGCCCCAAGTTCATCGAGTGGGATTACTCCATTGGCCAAGGGAACATTAAAGGTTGGTTTCTGCCCACACTTATCTTATCCCCTTCCCGAAGCCAATCAGGCAAAAACAAAGTTCGTGATTGCTAACTGGCCGTTGTATAGTCCTGAGTCGTACTCTTTTCGTCGGTGGTGTTACGTACGTTTTTTCTCCCATACTCTCAAGTAACTACTGGACTATGTATTAACATGCGCTTAGGTCTTCCGAGGCGCATCTCCGCTCTCTCTTTAGCAAGTTTGGCATCGTCCAGACGTGCATCGTCAACATTGACAAGCGTCATGCTTTCATCAAGATGATCAGCCGTCAGGACGCCGTCATGGCACGGGATGGCATGGAATCCTACAAGTCCGGTGACATGCAGCTCAGGGTAAGCTCTCAACTTTTTTCCCGTCATGTTCTTTCTCAGCTAACTCATATCATAGACTCGTTGGGGTGTGGGATTCGGTCCTCGTGACTGCAGCGATTACCAAACAGGCATCAGTGTGATTCCGATTGAAAGACTAACGGAGGCTGATCGGAAATGGATGCTCACCGCCGAATATGGCGGCACTGGCGGAAGGACCATCGAGTCTGGAATGGTCGTCGAGGAGCCCGACATTGAGATCGGCGCTGGTGTATCCTCCAAAGGTTTGTTAGCACCATGTCTACTCTAATTGACCACGAAGCTAATGATTTTCAACAGCTATCAGCAGAAGAATTGCTACCGACACTGGCGGCAAGCGTGGACCTGTCTCTTCCCGCACGCAGCAGGACCGATTCCGTCGGCCAGAACGCGATGGACCTGCCAACGGGATGGGCATGGGTGGCTCGGTGGAGCGCGAGATACCTAATGCCAACAATGTCGGTGTCCCGCCTGCAGTGCCTGGCTTCGGCTTCTCATTCCCCGGCATGCCCATGTTCCCTCCCGGCTTTATGATGGGAGGAGCACAAGCTGGATCTGGCGGTGCGGCACAGCCGCCTCCTCCAGGCCAAGGAAGCAATTAGCTATGAAGCATGCTATTCCAACGACGATTAGCCCCTGCTCTCCATCATCTCGTTCTTCCCTTGTTTTGATACCACTATTTTCTCTTCGTCTCTTCTTCCCATTTGTCTCTCTATCTCTTTTCTCATTCTTTCTACTCTGCAACGTTCTCATGTAAATCTGTTTCCGCACACCCCCAAAAATAATCGGCGTTGGCGCTTTCGTATTCATTGTTCAGCGGAAGGCATACGCTTTATGAGTGGGCGTTCTCCAGGCGGGTCAAGAGCACGGCATCTCCCATGTGGCTCCACAATGTATCCCCCATATGTCTTTGTTGCTTCAATTCTTCGCATAAACAGACGTCTCGACACACAGCGCTTGTTGGAGAAGTGAGTGGACCGAAGTTCGCTGGCTCGAACACTTACTGAACCATTCAGCGTCTAAGTTTACCTGATCTGTTTTTCTTCTACCATTTTTTTGCTTCTTGTCTTCTCTATCTACCTGTATTCGCAACCCGCTCATCTCTACCCGGGAAAGGGTGGCTCTTGTGATGTGATGTATTACTTTTTCGTGTTTTCCTCCTTGCTTTTCCCTTCTATTAAACGAATTGCTAGTTGGCTGATAACCGCTTCTCGTGTGTCTCTTCTGCACCTGCGTTTCCAACTCTTTTCCTTCTTCGCTTCCTGTGCATAATTGACCTCCCACTTATTTACCTAAATTCATAAGTTCTGAGATCGGATCTATCGCTTTTCTTGTATAATATCGTAGGCATCAACGTTCTTGGGCACTTGGTACGCGCTGCTCGCTGCTTCTGTAGTCAGTTTGAAAGCAAAATTACGAGCTAGTATATGATGAATGGTCGCTACGTATTAGATGCTGGGTTCTTATCTTACCCATCCAGGGTTTGCTTGCCCGTAGTCTATAACTCAGCTTTTTAGTAAACTGTGATGCAGGCGCTCCATCCAGGCGGCCGTATTAGGCATTGTCTTTTCCCTTTACTATCTTGATTTGAGTGTTTTATTAGGATTCTACGAAGGGCCCGCTCGCTATTGAAAACTAGATGCTTCATATTGGTATCATCTCGATATCTTCAGAATAGTACGTGAAAGTGTCTGTTCCCGCCTGTGCAATGGGATTTCTCAGTGCCTGCCCATGCGCGTTGTCGCTTAGGGGTCTGCGTTCTGGTGTCTGATTCGACCCAATCCCCAAGTCCCTATGGAATAAGCGCAGAACCAGCCATTGCCTCTCCAGCCAGACTTCAAGAGTTCAAATTTAACCAGCGAAAGCATAGTTTACAGAGCACTAGCAGCCTTGAACGACTGCTCAAAGTCGGCAATGATATCATCGATATGCTCAGTACCCACCGAGATGCGGATTCCATCCTCAGTGACTCCAGAGTCAATGCGTTCCTGCACGGTAAGCTGTTCATGAGTTGTGGACCAAGGGTGAATAGCGAGGGTCTTCATATCCCCAACACTGTAGAAGACATGATTAGCAGCCGAAGCTTTCAGATGAGTCCAGCCCCACCGCAGATGGACTTACTTTGCGAGATTGCTGATCAGCTTAAAGCCGTCAACCACCTGACTGCCTGCGGCAGCACCTCCCTTGACCCCAAAAGAAAGAACGCCACCAAAGCCATGCTTGAGATAGCGCTTCGCTGTCTCATGGCTGGGGTGGTCCTCCAACCCTGGGTATGAGACCCAAGAGACATTTTCATTTTTGCGAAGCCAGTTGGCCAGTATTATAGCATTGCTTGCATGTCTCTCGGCACGTAAACTCAAGGTCTCGATGCCGAGGAGAAGCTGTTGCGCGGCAAAAGGGTTCAGAGCTGATCCAAGATCTCTCAATATTTCCACTCGCACCCGAATGGCAAAAGCAAGGGGACCAAAGGTTTCCCAGAACTTCAAGCCATGGTAGCCTTCGGAAGGTTCAACAAACTGTGGGAAGCGTGCTGCATTCTTTCCCCAGTCAAACTTTCCACTGTCAACAACTACACCAGCAACAGTGGTGCCGTGACCTCCAATCCACTTGGTGGCGCTGTGTACAATAATGTCGGCGCCGTGCTCAATGGGACGGCAATAATAGCCGCCGGCGCCGAATGTATTGTCGACCTATATAGCACCCTAGTATAAGTTGCAAATCCTCTTGACGAATTTATACGAGGGCCCTAAAATATACACTTACCACTAGGGGCACGCCCTTTTCGTGGGCTACCTTGGCGATGGCTTCGAAATCGGGTACATTGTAGCGGGGGTTTCCGATAGTTTCAACGTAAACAGCCTTCGTACGGTCGTCAATAGCTGCAGCTATGGCCTCCGGGCTGTCTCCCTGGACGAACTTGGTTGTAATTCCCAATCGAGGGAATAAAACTTTGAATTGGTTATAAGTGCCACCGTACAGGTTACTGGTGGACACGATATTATCGCCAGCATGGGCAAGGGCAGATATGGCCATGAACTGCGCAGATTGACCCGAAGAGGCGGCGACGGCTGCGACACCACCTTCAAGGGCAGCGATACGTTTCTCGAAGACATCTACAGTGGGCTGTTTATTTCTTCTAGGTTAGTTGATACTAGAACTAGCAATTGATGCAATGCTTATGAGGGGAGTAAAGACTAGACTCACGTTCATAATCCGACTATAGATGTTGCCAAACTCTTTGAGACCAAAGAGTCTGGCGCCATGTGCGGAGTCATTGAAGGTGTAGGACTAACAGAGACCTGATCAGAATCGACTGCACATGATACCATATCTTGAAGATATTGGCTTACCGTGGTTGCATAAATTGGTACTGCTCGCGAATGGGTCTCGGAATCTGGTTCATGACTTGAGAGAGCAATGTCAGCACGAGGATCTGGTGTGACAGGTCGATGGAGGGGTCGGTATGCACATACCCCGCATGAAGCTGTAAAGTTTCGAAATGGGGCTGCTTAGATTCGGACATGTTGCTGCTATTCAATTGGGACGCTATCCTTCAGCTTGTATACTCCCAAGTAAAACAAGGATTAAACAGGGAGGACAATGAGGGGACAAATTGGCTGAGGTGGGAGAAGTATAATGGGAACCGTTAGTGACATGGGAACGACACATGCTCGCATTGTGGTAGATCTACCGACGACTAAGCAATTGGCGACGACGATGGCGTGATTCGATGGAGTAAGAACAAAGGAGGAGAAGAGAAAAGGCGGGGGAGGCGACGAATCCCAGCCATTTAGTACTAGTATCTAGTAGTACTCGGTCCTGATCAGATGCGCCATGGTACTAGTAGTCTGGATGGTCCTAAGTTCTGCTCCTGCATGTCTATCTAGTAAATACTAACATGCAATCAATATAGTATCTTGATTTCACATGGCATACGACTTTGTATAGTGGGATTTCTCCTATAGTATTTATTAAGAGTGTATAATATACACTCTCACTTGGCTCATCCGGGCGCTAAAAGCGAAAGGCCCACATATTGAACCGGACGTGCCTGATTTCTCCGCCCCAAAATCTTTCCAACAACTGCATGCAGGCTCAGTCAATCTGCCCTGTGGACATAGCTATCTACTTACTACTACCTACAGATCGGTTCCTGGGAGGGGAAATTGTACCTTGTATAGTATTACTTAAAATTTTATAATATTGGGCCCAGGACGATGATATAAATGGATACATTGTACAAGAATCTTAGTATTTGCGTCATTTTTAACAACACAGCCAACGCGGGGGATCTCCGTCTCTTAGCCCTCATATACACTATACTAGCACTAATTATGGTACGTAGTTGCTGCCTATAAGTCCTTGCAACTAATAGAGGGAATGTGCAATCGGCATCATGTTTTTAGCCCTCAGGGTCCAGGTGGCATCCCTTGGCAGTGTCTAGTTAGTTAGTGCCACCAACTCACTAGGCAGACGTCTCAGCCCTGTTTGACACAGTACAAACCAACTTTTTATGTTAGTTTATTATTTTTCCCTCTTACTATTTCTTACTATTTCAAAAAGTATCTTATGAGATCATCGCCTGCTTGGCCTTTTTCACTAGTCACCAATCCTAGCAAGTCGTTGGACCGAGGCACTCGCGGCCAGAGAGGCAGCCCGTCCCGTTCATCCCAGCATTGCAGGCAGATTCACAAGCTCACTGAGTTTCCTCATATTTTAGCTTCGTTATAGCGTCGGGATCTGCGACTGATGCTGCAGGCGCCGCGAATCAAAAAGTTTCAATACGAGATGGCCCTCCGAATAATGACGGTATCGTCTTTCCAGGTAATTCTGCTGTGTACTTAAATACACTACTTTGCTTGGATGGGCAGGCAGCTCCGAATCTCCCCAGCCCAACTGGCGGTCTGAGAGATTCGTTGGACTCTTGTTACTGCGCCACAAAGTCGCCTAATCAAGATTGAAAAACATAAGTCTTCGGCCTGCATGTGTGTGCGTGCGTGTGTGCATTATCGCTGGTTCTTTCAAACGTTGAAGAAGGGACAGAAATAGCACAAGTCAAGCAAGGTACTTAGAAAGGTCAGTCACTGCCTGTTCGTCAGCCCACTCACACCCACGTCACAGCCTTAAGCGCACACTGGCTTGAGAACTTGAAACAGCGTCCGCCTGTGCAACAGCATGTGACTTGCCATCGTTCAGGTGCTATGCGCTCATAATAGTTCTCTCCGTCCAACGTATATGAAGATCATTCCTGCCCTCCACACCATTCGTTTTTCTAAGCGTCAACTAACCCACTTATTCCTCAGAAAGAGCTGCAGTGCCGCGCAGACCGAGAGTAGTAGACAGGACATCTACCAGCACCCATCATCAACGCGAGCTCCCCAATATCAATCATGGCTGTGAATTTTCCATGGATCTACCCTGTTCGGGTAATCCAGGCCCTCTTCGGAATAATCGTCCTTGCTTTAACCGCATACTGTTCGTCGAGTCATTCCATCACATTTCGAAATTAAATAGCTGACAGATGACAGACATCAGTTGGTTCGTGTATAGTAGCGACTCGCCCAATTTCATGCTTTTCGTGGCGTGCTGGACAGCCTTCCTCGCAACTCCTTATCTTGCCTTGGCGCCGGTGTTCTTCCCCCAGTTTGCGCATCGCATCGTCATCCCAGCTGTCGAAGTGATTACCATGATATTCTGGTTCGCAGGATTCATCGCCCTAGCCGTATTCCTCCCACCAACAGAAGCCTGTCACTGGAGCCGTTGCAGTGCGTTACAGGCCGCAGTTGTGTTTGGTGCACTCGAGTGGTATGATTTCCCTCTGATCAAGCTTTCCAGCTTCAGCGCTCTAGCAGAAATGTTCCGCAGTGTATAGCGGGATCTGAAGGATGTAGTTGATGTGCATTGTTGCTAACATGAATCACGTAGGGTACTATTTCTGGTTACTTCCGTTTTCGCTGTCCTCGGCATCTCGCGTACCCGGTCCAGCTCCAGTACGAAGCCCACCCCTAACGATCATACCCACGTTGGCGTCTAAATGGAGTCGATAGTGACGGTTCCATGATACATTCTCGAAACGAAAGGTAGAGCGACTATTCGGCTAGCAGCGGAGGAAGCCCTGAATCAGCCGGTAGTATGATAATGACGTCATTATTATGAACGACTACTACGTCGCCAGTGATTCAGGGACAGCGAGGTTGGCGACGGTAATGACAATGATGATTTGGGATACTCGGAAGGATAAAAGGATATGGTTTAAGCGGCTGACTACAGTCGCGGTTTATGTTATCGATCGTTGACTGCTTTGTTCTGGTTTCGGCAGGATACCCATGTGTTACTAGTTACTAGGAGATTTTGGTCGACATATGATACCACTTAGTCCTAGGACACCTTGAAATGTGTTTCAATAAGCTATAGTATTCTTCGGTTTCTTTAACCTCCAAAAGGCCAAGAGTGAAATGCGTTTGGGGATTGATGTGATCTGATGTACAATTTAAGTAGGGGACGGCCATGACTGTTAAAAGGCAAAAGAAAAGTACCACGGAAAAGAGGCCGCGCGACAGGCATAAAAACCAGATATGCCGCCGTGATAGCTTACTGGATGAATGGGTTGAGGGTTCTCCATCTATTAGCAAATCAGCTTTGCTTACATTCGATCCACTGAAAAAAACCCACAAGCACGTCGAAAAAGTGATAAGCTTTTTAGTAAACTACAGCGTGTCACTTTGTACTGTCATTGAATCATTGAGACATTATCAGCGGATGACAGGGATTGGCATTCGCACCGATGATTCAGTTGTTGGATCATGCAATTGATCAATGAAATCATGAGTAAGAACGGATCGTAAAAGAGATAGATGCAGATGAAAAATTTGCCTACGTGATCATCTGGACACACGATGCTGGTACATTAGATAGATTCGAAAATTGAAAGACCAAAGAACAGATGAGGGAAAGCCGTCTTTGAACGAGCAGCTCCATAGAATGTTTCGAAGCTCGACAAAATTATCTAGTCTCCGGCAAATGTGCCAATGAACTATTCGGGATCCGAGGGAGACTGGGACGGGTCCGTGGTTCGACTCGCTGCACCGCGAATATCCGTCCGCTCAACGTTCCAGAAAGAAATTCAGAAAAGGGAAAATTCTGCAACGGAGTAGGGCTGGCCGACTACTCGGATCTCGCCGATTGGCTTTGGGACTATTTTAGCAGACGTGTCCCCGGGCTCTAGTAAATGAGGAGAAGTTGGGAAGGGAAAAAGAAGGTGAGTGGTGGATAATGATAGTCCATTGGTTAGTGGAGTTGACAACCGTTTAAGCTGGAGAGCGCATCAGGCCGGGTAGATAATTTTTTTTTGTATATCCATGTTGGAATCCAAGGTAGGTTCAAGAAGGCGGCAGTAACAACCAACCACCTCTCAATTGCCTTTTAGGATTACTATCCTGCCGAGATATCGTTAGTATGATTTTTTTTTTCTTGCCACCACGCGACGTCGTGAGAGGAGCAGGCGTGTTAAAAGGTTCCGACTTACGAGAGAAAAACTCTGTCTCCGCCCAAGGAAGGCCTATCTCGCGACCCACCATCCAGCACCGTCGCTGCTGGGCCAGCTGGAACACGCACCCATTCGCCGAACCTTTTCCAAGTTTCCAGATTTGCCCGCTGTCGATGGAGAAGGAATCCACGTTGAGGAGGTTTTAGTGCGTACGAGTGGCACGCACAATCCATAGTAGCAGCCTCTTGCTAGACTCCAGAGAGGTATGTAACTACCCCATTATTGTGTAGAAGACAAGTCAACCCAATTGAAGAAGGAAAGCACAAGACAACCCGATAAGAAATTGCGGGAGAGCATGGCCATGACCAACGTGCATGATTTCAATAAACTCAATAAAGTCGTGGTCTTGTCTGGGGGAAAAGCAGACTTCGACCCAAAGGAGAATGTCTGCGCGAGGTTGCATCCGGCGGTGCTCAACCCCCATTCCCACCCCCTCATCTTGACTGTTCCTTTTACCTAAAGATTTTCAGTCTTGGAACATAATTCGATTAGATTCACTATCATCATCATTCGTTGCCTCTCTTATCAGCGGGCAAAGATGGCCAGTTGACAAGGCACCATACATAATCTCTCGACGTGCATATGCATCCCCCCAGCCGTGTTGGTCGTACCTTAAAATCGCAGGTGGATGCGATTCGTCTCTAGCGGATTTCGGAGAGGCGACACGCAGAACCCGCTTATAAGGAGGAGCTCGACGACTGGATGGTTCCGAGTTTTGGTGACTCAATCGAACCGTGTTCCCGGTGGAGACGGTCCTGGCGGCGAGCTTCCTTTTTCCTTCTTTTTCGCGATTTTGACTTTTGTGACTTCTCTTCCGTCACTATCATACACACTGTACGTCTGACGCTCTAACCTTGAGGATATCAGCATCCTCAAATTTTGGGGCCGTTGAGGGTCTAACATGGCCTTCGGGAACAAGGTCAAATCCACGTCTGCCGAGGGGGAAAAGGGCAAGATGGCGCCTGAAGAGACTGTCCAGGTTCAGCCCACGAACCCTTCGTCCGACTTGAACGACATCGACTGTGAGAAACATGGCGCCAGTCGCGAGTCCAATCCCATGCCCGATCTCAAGCGGAAGCTGAGAAGTCGCCATCTTCAGATGATTGCCATTGGTGAGTCCTGTTGGCTGTCTTGGGGGTCATCTCCCTTTCTGCTTCTGCCACAAGACAGGCGGCCATTCCGGAAAGTGACAACCTGCTCATTCAATTCCTAGGTGGTACCATCGGCACCGGTCTGTTCATTGGTAGTGGTACTGCTGTTGCCAATGGAGGTCCTGTTGGTGCCCTCATTGCCTACATCTTCGTCGGTACGATCGTCTACTCTGTTATGACCTCTCTGGGTGAAATTGCGACCTATATTCCGATTCCTGGAGCGTTCACGGCCTATGCTGCTCGTCTGGTGGACCCCAGTCTTGGCTTCGCTATGGGGTGGATCTATTGGTTTTCCTGGGCTAGTACATTTGCACTCGAGTTAACGGCAACCGGTCTGATCATTCAATTTTGGGACGACTCCATCAATATCGCTATCTTTATCGCCATCTTTTGGGTTCTGATCACCCTATTGAACTTCCTGCCTGTCAGCTTTTACGGTGAATTGGAGTTTTGGCTTTCAAGCGTCAAAGTCATCACCGTTGTTGGGTTCATGATCTTCGCCATCTGCATTGACGCCGGCGTCGGTGACGAAGGGTATCTCGGATTTCGCTATTGGGTTCACCCGGGTCCCTTTGCTCCTTATTCAGGTGTCCACCCTGACTCGACGGCAAAGTTCGTCGGTTTTTGGTCTGTCCTTATCCAGGCTGGCTTCTCGTATCAGGGAACAGAACTGGTCGGTATCGCAGCCGCTGAGACAGAAAACCCTCGCAAAACGGTGCCTGCGGCTATTCGCAAGACCTTCTATCGCATTCTGTTCTTCTTCGTCCTGACCATCTTCTTCATCGGTCTTCTGGTGCCCTACACCAACGAGAACCTCCTGACCGATGGAAACGATGCCAACTCGTCGCCTTTTGTCATTGCGGCCAGGCTTGCTGGAGTCAAGGTTCTGCCTCATATTATTAACGGAGTTCTGCTTACTGTGGTGCTCTCTGCCGCCAATTCGAACGTTTACAGTGGCAGTCGTATCTTGATTGGTTTGGCTCAAGAAGGTTTTGCCCCGCGCTGGTTCAAGAAGACTTCCAAGAAGGGTGTGCCATACTATAGCGTTGCCTTCACAGCAGCCTTCGGTCTTCTCGGTTTCATGAACGTCTCCAATGCTGGCAGCACTGTGTTCAACTGGCTCGTCAACATCGCCGGTGTCGCAGGCTTCATCACTTGGGCATCGTTGAACGGCTGCCATCTTGCTTTCATGCGCGCCTTGAAGGCTCGCGACATCTCCCGCGACACCCTTCCGTATAAAGCTATCTGGCAGCCCTACTATTCCTGGTACGGGCTGTTTTTCAACGTTCTCATCATCATCACGCAAGGTTTCACCTCCTTTATTACCAGCTTTAGCGTCACGGATTTCTTCATCGATTACATCAGTCTGATTCTCTTCGTCGTGCTCTATGTTGGACACAAGATCTACTTCCGGACATCTTTTGTCCATCCTCTTGAGGCCGATATTGATACGGGCCGCCAGGAGGTTGAGAATGAAACATGGGAAACGGAGGCTCCCGCCACCAAGTGGCACCAGAAGCTTGCACGCTCATTCCTGGGCTGAGAGGATCACGACCCTCTGGGCATCTCAGTACAGGCCCGTGGTCAACAACACTTGTGCTTCTTTTTTATTGTCTTGTTTTTAATCCTCCCATATTCACGCCATACCTCTCTTCGGTTGACAGAAAGAGAGAGATTCCTATTACTTCTACATTTGAACCCTTCGGTTAATACATATGGCGCTTAGAAATTGGGTTTCACGCATATACGCATCTGCTGAGACAGCTGTTGCTTGTCAGTATATAAAAGAAAGGAGAGAAAGAGAGCGAGAAAGCGAGACGGACCTGCATGAGTTGATGATGAATGAAGGTCGAATGGGCGTCTTCCTCTTTTTATGAGGGACTTTTGTCTATATCTTTTGGGTTCATGGGTTGAGCCCCTTCTGTACAGTATACATGTTGGGATGTCAGCATTGGCATGGAGTTTGGTAAATGGTTTCTACTGTCGAACGTCTCGTTCGAACTGACTGTGGTCTAACTTTCCTGGAATCGAAAGTTTGCAAATAATCGACGTACTCTTGTTCTGCAGTGTAACTACGACTACATGTTGAATGGTTCGTAGCTTTATTCTCCGTGTACATGCGGCTACTCTGTAGCCGTGGTACTAGCCGCCGTTGAGCAGATAATTTATACTAGTGAGTAAATGGTTAGTGGCGGTGATTCGGTCAGGGTTAGATACTGCGCAGTGCCAAAAAGTAGGACTATTGTAGGGTTCAATCTAGTATTGTTGATCAGCAAGAGCTGTCAAGCTACAAGAGTGTATATACGTCACGAAAGTTTACGGGATTATTTCAGAGAAAATAGAGACCGGTCGGCGCTGTATCCCCGAATCTTCACATGGAACCTACGCCTACACGTGATGGACCAGGAGGCGAACATGAGCCAAGGCCGGATCAGAGGATCTTCTTAACTTGCGTTGTCGGAGGCATCGGTTAAGCCAAAAAGCAAGCATGTGAGAAGGTCAATGTGCCAGCTGGTTGTTGAATATCACAAGACTCGGGTCCGATCATCTGTACGACATTAGTCCACGGTTTATACCTCCTAGCTTGTGGATATATCGACTGGCATGTAACGAATTTATGTATTAAATGCAGGCAGACGTCAGTTGAGGGGCGCCGGCATCTGCGGGTTGATTCATGGGGCGTGGGGAGAGACTAGTAGTTGAGTAGTTAAGTAATTAATAGGAGTTCAATTAGTCGGTTCTTACTTCTTAGGGGGGCTTATGCAGTGCTGTACAAATTATTATAAGTTTTATTACTTAAATTATTTATTTTCTTTTTATTTATAGGTTCGACGATGTGAGTGTACTTTGCTTGTACTACTTTTTTATTTAAAGGAACTCCGTACGGTACTTGGGGAGTGTCTGCCCGCATTTTTCTTTTTCGGGGTCCGGAGATATTATACAGCATTGAGTGCGTGCTACTGGGGGAAAGGATCGCCTGCCAGCAAGGTCGGCTACTAGATAGTTATTGACTAGTAAGTATGATATGATTGTCTATCGCAGAACCGAGGTATGGGGTCAACGGGCGGGAAGAGACACCAATTTCGAGCGAATTGCAAACGTGGAGGATTAACCCAAAGAAGCATATGTTCCATCAAATTGAAGATAGATACTTATGCCTGGTACTGGAAATGAAACGGGGAGGCTTCCCCAACAGGGCAAGTGCCGAGGTTCTGCGGACTTGGGGGGGAGGAGGGTTTGGACGTCGCGTGGCGGGAACACGAGTGCTGGCCAGTCAGCGGCCGCCATTTGCGCGCATTCCGTCTCGGAGACCAACAAAAAAGTAAGGGAAGGAAGGTTCAACTGGGTCCCTCCCTTTCCCAACTTGGTACTTCATGCCTCAGGTAGGCAAGTTGCCCTGTTACTACCACCAGCAACTACGAAGTACTAGTAGTGCTCCAAGTGCTCATTCTTCTCTCTTGTCTCGTTGCTGTCCTTGTCCGGCAGTGCCTTTTATAGTCTCTCCTTTCAAATTTTGGGATTGATCTCCTCTTCCACCGTCGCCCCTCACCCTCACCGTCGCCTCCGGTCTCTTGTTTCCCTCCTCTTCCGTACTTATCCTGATCCTACCAAACTACTCTCGCCACCTCCAGCCGTCGTTCCTAGACAACTCTTCCTGGGAGTTGGGTTTGCTGTCATTGTTCTCTTTTACTAATAGATTTGTAAGTTGATCTTTGTTATCTGTCTCAATCACACTTGCCTTTGTGTTTGTAATACTAACCTTCTCGTCTTCATCAGCTGTAAATTACACCTGTCGCTATGCTATTCTCTCAACAACCTCTCCATGTTACTCGCGCAGATGAGTTGCGACAAAGTCCTCCCAAGGGCACTCCCTACTCGGTTGCCTTGCCTGGGACAGAGAAGCCGGGTCGGAGTAAGGTTTATCGTGCTTGGAATGCGACTGAGGGCGTCCTGAAGTCGCTGGATCCTCAAGTATGCTTGCCTTCCCATGACTTCCGGCGATCAGCAATCGTACCACAATATGCCTTTCCCTGCTGGATATGGGTCTGACTATCTTCACAAATCATTTCTAGATTCTTACTGCACACGATATCTTCGAGTCCACTGCAAACCGATTGCCGAAGAACCACTGCCTAGGTTGGCGTCCGTACAATCCCACGACCAAGACCTACGGTCCATATCAATGGTTGGATTATCAGACAGTACAAAAGCGACGGGCTGCGTTCGGCGCAGGTCTAGTGGAACTACATCACAAGCACGAGTGCAGCCGTCCTGGCCAGTATGGTATCGGTCTGTGGTGTCAGAACCGCCCCGAGTGGCAGATAACTGGTATGCGATCTTGTTACTTCTAGCGTGCGCAACACTAATTCTGGTCGGTTTAGACTTGGCGTGCATGTCGCAAAGCCTGTATTCGGTCTCCATCTACGATGTCCTTGCCCCAGATGCGACAGAATATATCATCAACCACGCGGAGTTGGCCTGCGTTGTGACCTCGCTGCCGCACATTCCGACCCTGCTCAGGCTGAAGCCCCAATTGCCTAACCTCAAGATCATTGTCAGCTTGGACCCTCTGGACGGCGGTGAAGAGGCTGGTCACTCGAAGCGTGCTTTGCTTGAGTCAATGGCTGCCGGGCAAGATGTCTCCATCTACACCATAGGCCAGGTTGAAGAGTTGGGTGCTTCGGTTGACCGTCCCTGCAAACCTCCAGCCCCCTCTGACACCATTACCATCAACTATACGTCTGGTACTACCGGCCCTCCGAAGGGTGTAGTCCTCGCACATGAGAATGCCGTCGCATCCGCTTCAGGTGCGCTCATTAACAGCATACAAAAAGCAGGCGACACCATTATATCGTATCTGCCGTTGGCTCACATCTATGCTCGGATGTCTGAGCATGCGGCCTTCTGGGCAGGAGCCCGGATTGGGTACTTCCACGGAAACATCTTAGAGCTCGTTGACGATCTCAAGATGCTCAAGCCAACCGGATTCATATCTGTTCCGCGCCTCTACACACGATTCGGAAATGCCATCCGCGCCTCGACTGTTGAGGCTCCGGGCTTTAGAGGTGCACTGTCGAGGCACATCGTGGCCACAAAGACTGCAAACTTAAAGAACCCTGACCTCAGCAAAGCTACAGGGAAGCATGCCTTGTATGATCGGATCTGGGCGAAGAAGGTCGCAGCTGCCATCGGGTTGGACCGTTCTAGAATGCTGGCTTCCGGATCGGCGCCTCTGGACCCTTCACTCCACCAATTTCTCCGAGTTGCTCTTGGTGTCGACGTTGTTCAGGGATATGGTTTGACTGAGACTTATGCCATGGCATGTGTACAGTCCCTCGCGGACTTGACCGCCGGCCACTGTGGTGGGCTGATTCCTTCTACCGAGGCTTGCTTGGTGTCTCTACCGGATATGGAGTATTCCGTTGATGACAAGCCGTACCCTCGGGGAGAACTCATGTTGCGCGGTGCGAACGTTTTCCGCGAGTATTTCAAGGACCCTGAGGAAACAGCCAAAGCAGTGACCGAGGATGGATGGTTCCGGACCGGTGATGTCTGCAAGATTGATGAGATGGGCCGTATCGTCATCATTGACCGCCGGAAGAATGTTCTGAAGCTGGCACAGGGAGAGTATATCTCTCCGGAACGGCTCGAGGGTGTCTATATGTCGGAAATGGGCTACTTGGCCCAGGGCTATGTCCATGGTGATAGTGTCCAGACGTTCCTGGTGGCTATCTTTGGAGTCCAGCCCGATACCTTCGCTGTATTTGCCAGCAAGGTGCTTGGCCGCACCATTGAGGCTACAGACATCGAGGGCATCAAATCGGTTCTTAACGACACCAAGATCCGTAAAGCTGTATTGAGAGACCTCAGTCGGATTGCCAAGAAGCACAAGCTTGCAGGATATGAGAGAATCAAGAACTGCGCACTGATGATTGACCCGTTCACCATTGAGAACAACCTGCTTACGCCGACGTAAGTAATCACCTTTCCACGCTCCACTTATGGTTATATATACTAATCCGCAATCCTATCAATTAGGCTGAAGCTGAAGCGTCCGCCCACCACAAAGAAGTATCGTCAGGTCTTGGACGATCTCTATGCCGAGGCATTGGCTGAAGAGTCTGCCCCCAAGGCTAAGCTATGAGGGATGGTGCTTTCTTCGCCCATGTGCATTTGTTTTACCACCGGCAGTGTGACATCATCTGTTGGGAACCCCTCCAGACTACATTGTACATATAACCAACTGCCCTCTTGTTTCACGCATATGCTGTCCATATTGTTCTCATTTTGAGGGGCAGGTCCTCGGGGTTGTCCAGGGCGAGAACAGAAGCCACACGCCCAGCCTCGGCCGTGGTTAGGAGTACATATTATATACTATTATTTTTAACATTGTTCGCGCACTTTGGCTGTCTAGGTTAAGCCAGATATATAGTAGATAGCGGCGTAAAGCGTAAGTGCTACCCAAAGCTTCAAATATATAGCATGAAACATTTAGATATTAAACGATACATTTGTGAAGTGCATGAATATTCTCTGCTCTAATTTGTACAGAATGACCAAGAATTATTATTAAGTAGTTGATGTTGCAAGCTACAGTAAAGGTGGCGCCGTGACTTCACCGTTAGCCGGCCGGCGCTTGGCACTGGCGCTGCCGTTGAGATCATCCATCGGAATAGCTTCACCTCCACCGTCCACCAACAACCTCCGCATTCCTCTGCGGACACTACCACCATTCAAACCCCATACTGCATTGACCAGCTGCACTTATTAGAATAGCATTTGTTGCCCATCATGCATCTGTCTCTTTTCTCCCTCTTCTCCCTGCTCTCTGCCTCAACACTAGCAACCGCAGCATCCGCCGCCCGTCATCTCACCATCACCATTCCTCCCTCGGCCATCCTCCCCAACCCGAACGTCCTCCCAGCCAATACCCACGCGACTCTTACGACCTTCACAAAGAACACAAATGACAACCACCACTTCACTGCACCCCTTTCCCGCTCCGCAACCTTCGACTTCCACCACCTCCCCGCCTCCTCGAAGCCCGAATCCTACCTCCTCGACATCCGCTCCCCGGAGTATGTGTTCGCTCCCCTTCGCGTTGACGTCGCTGCCGATGGCTCTGTCTTGGGTATCTGGGAGACCTTTCGCGGGAACCCGTGGGATAACCGCGGCGCGGAGAAGTTCGTCTTCGATGCGAGTGCTCCCCGCGGTGGTAACAGTGGAGCTGAAGAAGCTGTAATGGTTGAGGCGAAGGTTCTGGCCCGGAGAGGCTTTTATGAGGAGAGGTCGAAGTGTATGTTTTCTCACCCTAGAACTTCCCTCTTAGGTCTTATTGTTAGCTATGATGGGCGAGGAGCATGCGTGCGCAATGGTGTCTGTCCGTTGAGTGAATTACTTCGATACCCATTGAGCGCACGCGCGTGGCCTTCGGACCTTACTTTTCCATCTCTACGGAACTCTGATTGCTGACTGTGATCAATTATCATCGATATAGTCTCTCCCCTGGCTTTGTTTAAGAACCCCATGATCTTGATGGCTTTGGTGGCTCTCGGTTTCACCTTTGGAATGCCCAAGTTGATGGAGAACAGTAAGTGCTGTCCAGAGTCACTAGATTCCACTCCTCTTGTTCCTCCCTCTCTCTCGCTACATCTTATCTTGTAAATAACTCCCTTGCTAACATGCACTCTTATCAGTGGACCCTGAAATGCGCGCCGAATTCGAGAAGCAGTCTCGCTCTTCTCCCATCGGAGGCGCAACAAGAAGTGCTATGGCTGGCGGCGGGGCTCCCGGTAACTTCGACCTGGCTGGCTGGATGGCCGGTGCTACTCCTAGACCCGGTGCGTCTGGTGCGGAAGCTGCGGCTGCGATTGAGGGAGCGGCTGCTACGACGGGCCGGGAGGGTGGTGGTGCGTCGCGGAGAAGGGGTTGAAGCGTTGTATTATTACAGTATCGTGTGGGGGTTTGGGGGTTTAGAGGATGGTATGGTATGTGTGTATATGGATTGCGTTGTGCGCTCTAGGGATAGATATCGATGTGTCCATGTATAATAAGCTCCTCAATGGCCCTGCTCCCGACAGACTCGGCGGGATGAGATTAGAGTTAAAACTAATGATCTAATAATCGATCAGCTACAGAACGATAGCTTCTTTCATGCATCTTCATAACACATTAGGCTATGGGAAATTAATACTATCTACATAGAAGACGACGATAGTCCGAAAGTAAGCAAGCAAGCCAGAAGCAACAGAAGAAACCCCAACAGAGAACAAGAGTAGTCAACAACTGCTAACCTCCCAATGCTCATAACTCATCAATCGCCCCCTTCCAGCGTAGCTCACCATACACGACAACACCCTTAGAAATCACCCCCAAAGTCATCACCACCGAAATCCCCTCCATCAAAACCACCACCATCATAATCACCCGGAGGAGGACCATCAAAGTCATGTCCAAGATCCTCAACAGCATCCGCCAACAAGAATCCACCTAGTAGACCACCCCCCACACCTAACGCCGCAGCCCCCGCAGTTCCCATCCCATTGTGTCGCCGCTGCGGCGCCTGCTGCTGTGCATAATAGCCACCCTGTGCCGGATACGAAGGATAACCATACCCGGCCTGCTGTGGAGGAGGATAGCCACCGTATCCAGCCTGAGGATACCCATAGGCTGCTTGCTGCGGTGGCCGACTGTAACCCGCACCACCACCACTGCTACTACCGCCAGAGTGTCTTCCCATCAGTTTGCCCAAGAGACCCCTGCTCCGCTCCTGTTTCGGCGCAGGTGACGTTGATGGTCCCTGGGGGGACTGCACGCGGGAAGAGGAGTTCTCGGCATAGTAATCGGACGCAGCGCCAGATTGTGCCTGTGCTGGTGGTATCGGACTTCTGCGACGAGCCTGGGCTTCTTCTTCAGCTTGTAGCTGAGCTGCTAAGCGGGCATCGCTCTCTAATGTAGAATCCGGCTGGCTGTTGTACGGATTCCTTGAGCCTAGAGGTTTCTTGTCGCCGCCGGCGGCCGCTGAACTAGGTCGATCACCAGGACCAGAGGCATCGTGGGAGGGCGGTGGCCCGCTGGGTGGTCTCTGCGAGTCTTCCTGGTAGGTTGGACCCTCGGGACGTTCCCATTGTGATCTGCCGGTGCGTAGATCTACAAAGAACCTTTGACACTGGGCGTTAGTTTCTTTCGGCTTGCAGGATGAATATGTATCCGCGACGAAGATATGATGGCGGAGATGTGAAATAAGGTCTTACCATTGCTTATATCGGTCGTCGAACTGGGCTTTCCATCCTTCAGGTACTGAAGGTGGTGGGGGCCCGGAGGGAGGAGCAAATGACATCTGTGATGGTGTGACGATCAGATATGTGAAGATGGGGGCCGGAATGGATCGGCTAAGGCTTAAGCACTGCCAAGACAGTTGAAGTAGCAAGTTTATAATGGCCAAAGATCTGGGATTCGAGAGAGAGATATATGTAGTACCGACTACAATCTAAGGTACGGATATCGAAGTAAAGCCCACCCAGCAATGCCCCGTGGCGCTGCTCAGCCACGTGATGTAATTGGCCGGCACACCGTTGACATCATTCATCATAGCGGAATGACTTTCCTGCCGCAGGAGTTCTGATAGGATCAGCGCTCTCCCAACCGATTTCGCCAGGCTCCAGACTAAATACCGTCAAGGTCTCGGATGTTAGCATCGATGGCACTGCTGGGCGGCCACCAGAAGTCTTCCTCGAGTGCCTCTTCTACCTCCTGTAGGGCCGTTTGAAATCCGGCAAAGTGGATAACATTCGAGTCGGACCTCCATTCCGTATTTTCAACTGAATCGACGACTCCAATCTTCGGTGGCATAGAACCTGGTGGTGATACAACATGGTGCAACCTGCGCTTGTATATATCGGGTACATCGCTAGCGGGATCGACGGCATCTGTCTTGGCATATGCAAGAGGCTCACTAAGCCCATCTCGTGTTCTCTTGTTCTGATTGCGCCTCCGATTCCGAATATGTGCCAGCTTAATCTGCGCCTCAACATCTTGCTGGGACGCTGTATCTAGCCCGATCCTGCAATCCGGGGGCGGGCCATCGAGTTGCCGTAGCTGCACCTCTTCCTTCAGTCGGGTTTGTGCAATTTCATGCTCAGGGGTGTTTTCCGGACGAGCCCAGGCTGCAAAGGGGCCATCATAATATGGTCCTTGTCCAACTCCGTATGTTGGGTGCCTGATGAGCTTCCCTGACTCTAGAAGTTCTGCGCCCGCCTTAATCCCTGATTCGGGATTAGATACTTGCCCATCAGGACACATCTGCAGTTGGGGTTGTAATGAAGGCTTGAATTTCATAGTAAGGCCCTCATTGCTTGTAAACGGGCCGGGGGATAGAAGATGGACACCCCCAGCAGCATCGCCGACCAGCAGGTTGGACTTATCTTTGGAAAAGGCACCGCACATAATTTCCTCGTCAAATTTGGCCGTATCCTGGACGAGCACATCTTCCGGGGCTCTAAGGATATCCCATCTCTTCAAGACGCCGTCAGAGGACCCAGTGTAGAATTCGTCAATCCTATCTCCCCATAGAGACAAACGAACGCCAACATCAGCTTGTTCCCTGCTGATTGTTTCATCTATCTGATTCAGAGGCTCTCCGTGTTGGAGCTTGTGAAGAATTCGGTCTGGGCGCCGATGGTCCCAAACATAGGTAATTCCATCAGTGCAGCTGGCTGTCACGTAACCTGGGTTCATAGGGCAAATATGGGCGTCGTTGATATCTAGCGCCGGACACTCAAACTCCATGGTGCAGACTTTTGATGATAAGGGTTGATACATTCGGACTAAGGATCTGGTATCCTTGTAGGCCTTGTTGACAGGGCCATGACCTATCGATGTTGCTGCTGCAAAGATTGGCAAGGTGGGGTGCCATTTAATGTCAAACATGTTCTGAGAGTTTGGGGAAAATTGCATAGGTGATATTGATGCCTCGCATATTCGCCACCCTGCCAACAGACCTGTCTGCAGTGTACCATCACCCTTTTCGCACAACCCGGCAAGCAGAATGTTTCCGGTTTCCTTAATGGTCCCCCATGCTAAAGAAGTAGGTACCAGTTCTCTGTCCTTTCTGGATCGCGCCCTAGGTAGCTCTAGGAGAGTGTGGGTTGACTCTGCTAATGACCAAAGTCCTATTGAACGAGTGCCTGTTGCGAGCAAATTCCGCTCATAAAGGGAGCGAGCCATAACTTCCACCTTAGAGTCATGCTGAAGAGTCTTGCGGCATGAGATATCTCGACCGGAAGCATTCCATATCTTCACTGTATTGTCGTAGCTAGCAGTAAAGAGTGCATCTTCCCACCACTCGATGGAAGTAACGCTCATCCAGAGACGAGGGTCATGGAGAGTCCGGCTTGCTGCGGTCCTCCCTGGGGGCCGAAGAACATAGTGGTCTGGTAATTCAGTCAACTCATTGTTGACAATGTCACCAACAACTAGATTATTATTTCGGTTGTATTCCATATTATGCTCGTCGCATTGTGCTGTCGCGCCGGCAGCAAATTTTGTGCCATCTGGTGCCCAAGCCAGGACAATCACATCATTCGAGGCATCTTTCCAAGTTTTCGCAAGCTTAAACCCTTTGTTGGTATTTGAGTGAAGCTGTCGTTTTACACGAAGCCCTAGCTCACGGCGCTGCAAGATTTTATTCAACGACCCGCTTATCTCTGCGCATCGAGACCCCGATGCAGTAGCCTCTATGACACAGGGGTTGGAAGGAAGGCAGCCTCTTTTTGCATCAGCAATAAAGGCGTCTATCTCAGTAGGTCCACGTCGGCTGAGCACCAGAGCGGAGGGTAGAACTTTGGACAACTCCCAGAGCTGAATCCCAGAGAAGAGCAATGGACTATCTTGAGACGTGTCCTGGACTAACCCCAGAATTTTCCCTACCAGGCGTCTGGCTTGCCGTTTTTGCTTGTCTTTTGATTTAGATGCCATCGCTTCTAGAAGCCATTTATGACTATCATCTATTCCATTGTTTTTCTCGGTAGAGATGATCTGCGAAAGCTCACATACCCACCTAATCTTCTTCGAGGCCCTCTGCGAGATATCACATATATGAGCAGCCTGGATAAGCTGGTCCGAAAGCGCGGTGTCCATCTCGTCGTGTCGCTGAAAGCCGCAAAAGCAAAACAAGTCCATGATGGCTGCCATTTCGGTTCTGTCAAAGTCAATATGGAGAATCTCATCCGCCAGCGGCGGCTTGTTCTGATACTTCAAGGCGTACTCTCCTGGGCTACGCAATGATGAATAGCAAGCACGACCCGATAACCTCAAATCATCTAAACTTTTAAGCGGCGACTTGATAATCCGGACATGAGGTGAAGAATAGATGACACGGGCCTTTTCAATTCGATCATGAATACATGACGAAGTATTTGGTTGAGCTGCAATGCTAGAGAACCTGGGACGTCGGGATGTGGTAGGAGACGGCCTGGCAGGGCTTTCGCTGACATCTTCATCGGAGCCGAAACCCAAATAGTTGGTCTTGTCGTAATAGTTGTTTGGCCCAGTCCTTGCACGCCGAGAGCGCCGGTTACTCGACATCTCACGCCCATCTCCTGGTGACGATGCAGTATCCGGCCTATCCTGTTCGGAAAAGTACAAGGGGTCCGGTGTTTGCGGTGTGCTGGATGTGACGCGGTTCTCGCCAGTGTTCGCTGGTGATGATCCAGGTTCAACGCGCGTCTTAGGCGTCTTAGGCGGCCTACCGCGCTTCTTGACGCTTTCGCGAATATCTTCCCCGGTCCTAGAGCATTCTCCTGGGGCAGTATGTTGATCGCCGCGACTTGCCGCTGGGGACCCTCGTGTTTGGTGGGAGGAGTTTCTTATAAACTGTGAAAGGAGGAACTGAGCTTCCTCAATAACAGAAAGTTCTTCGGATTCCTCCGGCGTGTGTATACGGGACATTGTGCGCGGATAACTTGTCTCCCACTAGGTATCCCAAACCAAGACAACTGAGCTTGCCGGCGCATGTCGACCAATAGCTCAGTGAATGAGTGCCAGCACTGGAAGTGAATCAGACTGAGAGGTGATTTCGAGGAGGGCCTGCTGTAGCGCTAACATAAAAGCTCAAGTCAGCGCCGGTGAATGGCTTTAATTTAACTCAAATTGGATTTTTGACAGCCTGGCGGGGAACAAACACTATATGAGGGGAAAAATTAGAACTCTACCTAATATGAATGCATAAGTCCAGCAAGGGTTCACACAGCTTCGAATAGTCATCACTCGTCCAGACCTCACTTGGGCCTCGCCTGAGCCTCAATGTTGAGGGCAGCAGCAGAACAATACAATATATCCTTCGCGTCGACTGCGACGCGCGAACGCGCTGGATAAAGTGCTCTATATTCTTGTAAAAGGCAGGCGGTCGGGTCTCATGGATCAGGCGCACTAGGGCCAATCATATGTAATCGAGCCGCGGCTCCTTATCGAGTACGTAGTACTAGTAACTAGTACTTAGCTTCATGCCAAGCTAGTAGAAGTCTCCAAGTAGTACTCCGTAGTGTGTTCTATTTTCCTCTACTGGTGCTACTCTTTAGCGCCTTTACACGGTTGACGGAACTTTCCACTGAAAGAGGTGTCTACAGCCACTACGGCGGGATGCCATGATCCACTTAAACATCATCACCGAATCAATCCTTTGGTGCGATAGCAAAAGGATCAGGCCCAATCAGAGAAAGGCTTAGTACTATATGAATGCAAGCCTAAATATATCGATTTTTAGGATCGCCCAAGAAACAGTCATCGTGCCGAATTTGAATAAGAGAACATATATGTACAGAATATATTCAGATTAAAGACAGAAATACAGGGGCCCAAAGGTACACGATGAGGGGATCAATCAGGAGGTCTTTCTGAGCCCAAATAATGTTAATGATTTGGCAAGGGTGCTTTAAAGAGTTTCTTCCAGATCACATGTTTCACTTGGAAATTGTCCGGTTCCTCTTTCGAAGAGAGACCATAAGGTCATAAAGAACATCCTTGAACCCAAACAAGAACGCCGCAGTAATGGCGCTCTGTGTGACCTTTGGCCCAATGCCTGTCATGTGATGTTAGCATAAGTTTGCATGGCTCCCTCATTGTCAGTACTATACCTCTGTAAAGGCCCACAAAACCCTCTTCCTTGACGATTCTCTTCAGGCTCCCGTTCAGACTCTCCTTAGGACCATCTTTACTAGCAACATGCATGCGACTCTTCACCGTAATATAGGGATAGGTGATCGAAGTTGCCAGTATCTTACCAAGCGCCCCAAGATAGAACGCATCCTTTGGCGTCATACGCCTACGACGCTCCACAATATTCTTCAGCTGCTCAAAAATTGTGTACTGTAGAATCGGGTTAATGACCAGAATGAGGGCTGGCAAAACACCAGCAAAGAGAGCCTTGGGCCCCTCTTGCCGGAGCAAGTCCAACAATGTACTAATTGTAGATGCCCGCGACTTCTTGGGGGGAGTCCCTGGCAATGTTTCTTGCTCCGACTCGGACTTGCGGGCTGTCATTCTAGTGTTTACAACCCATATAGGGTTTGTGATCAGGACCGTCGCACTCCCGGCGATAGCGCCCGCGATCATTGACTCCGCCGTCGTGAGCTTCTTTGAGGACCGCCCCGCCCGCGCAGCCGCCTTTTCGAAAGCCGAACGCGTCCATTCGTACCAATAGTAGTAGACGAAGTTCGTGACGCTGATGCCAAAGAGCGCAGATTCAAGACCGGAATAGAGCCCAGAAACCCCCTCTCGTTGAATGATGCGGCGTATTGCGTCGTACGTCGTGGAATGGGCACGCTTGGACTCGACTTGCGCTCTCGTGGAAAGGGTTATCAGGGGATAACTACAACATATGGAATGTCAACGCTGATTTCATTAACAGGAGGTGTTGCCGCACGTCAAGAGCATTGACAGTATACCGCCTCCAGCGCCCGCCAATGCATGTGCCATGTTGTCACTTTGCTGGACCGCAGCAGACACTGCAACGGCCTTCTTTTGCCCTCCAATGTTAGACTGAGACATGATCGATAACGCGGTGATTTTCTTTGTCTATCGGAATAGGTGCGTCAAGAAAGCGGATCGATATTATACTATGATGGTGCACGCGAATCGGGTATCGGTACCTCGGATCCTTATAGATGGGTTACGGATTGCTTTGACAAGTGAGTGTGAAAAAGACGGCAGATGGAGAACTAGTGATATTTCAGTAATTCTGCCCGAGAAGGTCGCAAGGAATGACAGCAAGAAAGGAGGAAAGGGGTAGATATGTAGGCCTTGGGACGAATGGGGTAGGGACTATGTCGATGTCGGGTGCGAGAAAGGCTCGGCTCTGGATTTGGGGGTGATGGTTTACATGACGTTTACCGAAGCCTGTGCCTCGGCTGATGGGTGACCCTCATCAGCTGATCGGATCAACGCTCATGCCATATGAAATTTGGCTAACTTCCTGAGGCTTTTCCATGCTCCTAGATGGTTACTGGGGAGAAAACGACAATTATGAACTAAGGAGGTGACATTTGCCGGTAAATAGCAGATCCACTTCACGTGTTTCATCTACCGTTGTAATATCCATCCTCCACATTTCTCTCTTGACCCTTTGATACAACAACAGGTGATTGACATTAGAGTCCGTTTCTTTGCTTCTAAGCGATTCGTGTCAGTATCTACCATCTGAACAATAATTACATATAGGTTCAGAGCCTGGGCAAAATTGAAGAGTGTGGGAGAGACTACCTAGGCATGAAAGCATCACGAACTGCTAGGAAGGGTATGTATGGCATGTGACATTCCTGCGCAGAGCACGTATAGTCTATGAAAACCTCGCACATGGGATATAGCCTACTCGCGACAAACAACCCTTGTTCAATTTTCAATATCAATACAATTGTAGACCCGAAACATAGTTGCTATTAGTGAAAGAGCAGAGTGCTAACAATGACTCTACATATCCTACAACTTATATTTGTACCATACCGTTAGAGTCCAAGTAAATGAAGGCGGAAAAGCGAGTATGTTCTGATTTTGATTTGCCACGAACCATATTCACTTAAGTATCATTAACTTCTGCATTAATTGACCCAGACATAATCACGCAACGGATCCAACTAACTAAGAAAAACTCAACGGATCAGATAGAAAATGCTTCGAGTTAGAGAAAGGCCACGAGCAAGACAATAGCGACGGGAAAGATAGGGAAGGGGAAGATAGATGACCGAGAGGTGAAAAGGGAAAACCTGAGGACACAGAAAATTATCCATAGTGCACCATGTATAAAGACGAAACGAAAGCCTTCTAAAGCATGAAAAAGAAAACTACTCCCGGTGACCATTGCCAGCATAGAACATTTAAGATAATGCTAGCATTCGAGGAAGACTGCCCGGCAGCAGGGTGCAGTAGGTAGCCTCCCTCGTGGCTCCTCTTCTTTAATCACCAAATTTTCACCCCGTCTCAAGATGGCGTAATGCAACGCGGGATCAGGATCATCAATAGTCTAGCAGCAGCCGCCCGCGGAGCCGGATTGAACGCCCTGGCCTTGGCCAACCTGCACAGTTGGCTTGTTGTTGACAGTCGCGGTGCCCATGCGTTCCTTGATCTGTCTCGCCATTGTCAAGAAAGCCTGCTCTACATTCGAAGCGTTCTTTGCCGAGGTCTCCAAGAACGGGATTCCAAGGCTGTCGGCGAATTCCTAAACAAACACATTGTGTCAATCACCCCCTCTGCCAGAACATGGAAGAGTCCCACATAAAGGCATGGCCACATACCTTAGCCACTGTGTATTCAACGACCTTCTTGTCTTCCATATCGCTCTTGTTTCCGACAAGGAGCTTGTTGACGCCTTCAGTGGCGTAGCGATCAATCTCTTGAAGCCACTGCTTCACATTGTTGAAAGAGTCCATGTCGGTAACATCGTAGACGACACAGATTCCATGAGCACCACGGTAGTAAGAAGAAGTGATTGTCCGGAAACGTTCCTGGCCCGCAGTATCCCACTAGAGCGCCCGTTAGTAAAGCCGGGTGACCGACTGTTGTGAATGGGGGCTGCCTTACGATCTGGAGTTTCACCGTCTTTCCATCCAGCTCGATGGTACGAATTTTCTGCATTCAAAAACGTTAGATGGGATTCTATGACGCAGCCCACTGCTAGCAGCTATGATGAGAAGTGAAAGGCCAGATACGTACGAAGTCAACTCCGATGGTGGAGATGTAGCTCTCCGTGTAGGTATCATCGGCGAAACGGAGGAGCAAGCACGACTTTCCAACACCAGAGTCTCCGATGAGGAGCAGCTTGAAGAGATAATCGTATCTAGCCAAACTATTAGCATATCGATCGATCGATACGCACGAAGAGGGCCGCGCTGAGCCAAATAAGGCGTGGGGGAAACGGAGGATCGTGGGGGGCTCTAATAGGGGTTCAAATTAGCACGGGAACCAAGAGATAAAGAGGATATGGATGAAAGACGTAGTGCCATCATGACAAGGGGGGCATCGCCGGAACCTGATGAGTTGTAGGCCAAATATGGGCGATCAAGGGCACTTACCACTCGGGATTCATGATGGGGCACTTGGACGGTACGTCAGCGTATGCGAAATCTAGAGAGTTATTTGATGGAAAGGTGGAGAGCTGAAGTTGCAGAAGAGAAGTATTAGGCGTGGCAACAAGCCGATGTAGTAAACGATACTTGAGTGTCTACTTAATGAGATGACCGAGCGGTCTCTTGAAATGGCGGTTGCGTTGCTGACTGCAGGAGAGCAGGCGAGCCCAACGTGCAGGTTCCAATACTGGCGCTAGTCCGTCTCCTGCCTAGTGTGGACCTCCTGGGTGGGAATGACCGTTTCACGCTCGCCCGCCCCAGACCCATGACCCAAGCCAGGCTAGTGCGCCAATCAAGACACACTAACAACCACATGCAAATGAACAGATTCTAGGGACTGGCCTATCTAGGAGATGGTACTTACAGTAGTCCGACTCAAGTTGCACAATGTGCACTCCGGTTCTAAACAGGTTTAGGTGGCTCGGCACCACCTTTTTTCTTCAGGTAACATAACTGTGGTCCTTCCGATAGAACAATGCAAAATAAGAGGGTACTCATTTTCGTCTGCTAGCTATATATATACTACGTACTACCAAGTGCCGGTCCCTCTCGTCACATGTGCAAGTCAGGGAGACATCGAAAATAAGTGCTCCACCTTCACTTCCTAAGACGAAAGACAGTCCTTCACGTATCAAGTCAGGTACAAGTCAGAAGTTCGAGTTCTACAGAACTCCAATACTCAGATGATTCACAGAATGGCAGGTGTTTTAGATCACAAGGCACCATTTTCACCTGTTGGTACGAACAGATTATCAAAACCATTTACCTTCGCCCCAAGTGGATCAAGCGTAGCCCTGTGCCTGAAGCCATTCCAAGACCTGCTTCTCATCTCTTTCCTTGTAGCGTGCATTCGTCCGGATGCTATCAGCAACGATTACCAGGGCGCGATCGTACGCACCGGTGTCCTTCTCCCGGAAAAACGAAGCAATATCGGCTGCAATATCGTGGTCTGCGAATTTGGAGAGCCCCATGCGCACAAACCGCTCGAAAACAACATTGTTCGCTGACAAACGAGCTTCAACTGCCGCCCAGTTCTCTTTCATATATGTCCATAGAAGGTGGCGAGTTAAGGGATTCGTAGCCATTGAAGTCGCGCCATTATGAACATCCTGGATTGCAACCTTGTCTGAGAAGACAAAGTCCATATAATCCTTTACCAGCTCAGCATCTTTAGTACGCCCAAGGGCTCCCAGGCAAATCTCCTTGCCGTCAACGGAGTCGGTTTTGAGATACTCCTGCTTTACGGCGTTGTATTCTTCACGACCGCCCTCCGAGATTACGATACTAAAGATCACTGAGCGGAGGTTGGTATGCACAGCGTTCTTATCGTTGCCTGTTTTCCAAAGCTCGAATCGTCGTTTGGCCTCGGGTATTATGCTAGCAAAAAGTTAGACCCTTGATTCAAAGCGAAAAACGTCTCGCGGTTGACATACTCTTTGTGGCCCGCACGGCCAGCCATCCCAATTAGAAGCTTACGAAGCTGGACAGTGAGATAGTCATCCTCCGCGCTGAATTCCCAACCGATTTCATTAGCGGCAGGGGATGAGAGCTCCAGGGCAAACCTCTTGAGTCCCGCTGCTACCGACTCATTCTGGGCGAACACAGAGCGTAAGTTCGCAACGGTGGAAGAGATTTGGGACCAGACCCTGTGGAAGTAGTTAAGAACCAAGCATGGAGGTATAGGGATTACCGAATCTTAGGAAGGGTTAGGATGTCATAGTTAGATACTCACAGATAATTCTTTTCGCCCTTAAACCCCTCTAAGAGAGCCAATAGAGCAGCAGTGGATCCGTCCCCGGAAACAGCCAGGGCAGCGGCATCGCCAATCAATCCGATCTTATCCTCGGTGCTCAGCAGTTCCAGTGATTGAGCGAGTTTCGCCAGCCGATCGGCAGGGTAATTGGTTCGGTAAAAGCCGGACAGGTCTTTGTTCAGCTTGTAAAAGGAATCTTTTCCGAGTTCCCCAATTGTAGCTTCCTTGGAAACGAGAGCACCGGGCTTTACGTCGGCCATCTTAGGTCCTGATTTGACACCAAGGGGAATCCACCAAGCCGTCTCATCTTCCTCGGGCTTAACATCACCTGTCGACAAGAAGCGGTTCTGACGAACATTGAGCTGACCGGCTTGCTCGGTTACGGTGACAACAGGAAAGCCAATCTTGCGAATCCATGGATCCTTCATGATGCAGTCAGAACAGTGATCCGGTGTTAAAAAAAAAAAAAAAGAAAGGCAGCTCACCATAAAGCTAGTAACATCCCGATTGGACGCTTCGCTGAGAGCGCTCCAGAGATCATTAGTGGTAGCATTACCTGAATTTGTCAGTAATTAGCAACCCCGATCCCCTATAGATCTTCGATGTGTACTTGCCATATGCATGGGCTTTGAGATAAGTGGCTACTCCCCGCAGAAATGTTTCCCGACCAAGATGATCGCTTAGCATCCGGATGACCGAGCTTCCCTTGAGGTAGCTGATGTGATCGAAAATTTGATCGACTTCAAGAGCGTTCCTCACAGGAACCTCAATCGGGTGGGAAGCTCGTAATGAATCGAGTTGAAATGCTTGTTGGACACTCTCAGCCTATGCAAAAGTTAATAATCTGCCACACAAGGCTGTATTTACCTCGAGAATTGCGTACAACAAACTGAGACCATATGTTCCACTCTGTTCGCGAGAAAATTGTCAGCTGCATTTGGTCTGTAAGTGCCCGGGTCCATTGAATACCTGGATAGAAATGATCCACAGCAAGCCAGCCAACCCATGTTGCAAAGCCTTCGTTGAGCCACAACTCATTCCACCAATCCATCGTTACGAGATTTCCGAACCATTGGTGCGCCAATTCTAGGATTATCACTCGTTAAAAGAGAAATGCCGCTTAAATTGCAAGGGAAGACAAACCGTGCGCGACGACATATGCAATACGATTCTTGTATCTGGTGTCTGACTTGCCCTCGTCGAAAAGTACAGCAGTCGTTCGGTAGGTAACAAGTCCCCAGTTCTCCATGGCGCCCATAGCCTGGAGCATTTATCGTTAGTGGTTTCTATTCGTGAGAAACAGAATCGGTTTCCGTACAAACTCGTGGACAGCAAGGAGATCCGCCTTAGGCAACGGATACTCGATCTCAAAGATTTCAGAGAAGTAATCGACCGTACGATGGGCACACTCCAAAGCAAAGCGGGCCTGCTCCTTAAGGCCCTTGGTCGTATACACGCGAACGGGGATGCTCTTGCCTTGATATTTGCGCTGAGTCATAGCCTCAACATATTCAAAGTCACCGACTGCCCATGCCAGAAGCTAAATAGAAGATGTCAAGAGTTAGTGTGGAGTATTATTATCAAGGGACGGTGCAAACTGACGTAAGTACTCATGACCGGTGTAGTTTCGAAAGAGACCATCTTGAGTTCTGGCCTACTGCCGCTCCTCTCAGACTTGATAGGCATGTTGCTAAGGGCTGTTTGTCCTCGGGGAACCTCAATCTCAAAGTCGAATGTGGCCTTTAGATTCGGTTCATCGAAGCAAGGGAATGCCCTACGAGCATCACAAGATTCGAATTGGGTACTAAGCATGTAATAGGAATCGCCCTCCTTGGGTGTGTCTTCGGTCGGATCCACCACCGGCTTATACTTGGAGCGAGAAAATCCAGCCATGGCATTGTTCATAATACCGGTGAAATTGATTGACAGGACAACATCTGCGGGATGGATTTCCTCTGCAAAGGTAAAAGTGACCCTTTCCGACTTGGTATCGTATGCGATATTAGACGCCTTTGCCAGCTTGGTCCCTAAGTGCAGCCGATATGTCAAACCCAACATTCGTTCGTGGAAAAGAATGGGATCAGGAACAATTGGGATGTGGCTCTGTCACTAACCGTCCTTTCCAAAAACTTCAGCATCCTGGACTTCGATTTCCTTGGAGTTCAACACGATCGATTTTGTAGGACGGGTGACCTTGGAATCGATTTTGACGGTACCCTTATAACCCCATGAGCCGCCGAACTGAAGGTCAAACAAAGACACATTGTAATGAACAGGCTTGACCCTGCCACCGATTGTTAGAGGCACGCCAACAGATATAGGTGCACGATACTCAGCTGTTGGCGATCGGTAACTTACACGTCCGGGAGGATATCCCTGTCCTTGGATGCCATTGCGCGGAATTCAGATGAACAGCGCCTTACAAAAACGGGTGAGGATAGAGCAAGATTGACCCTACGGATAGACTGTAGGTGTGTCGAGTAGGGCAAGCCGGAAAGGGAGCGGGAGCGTGACGAAGAGATGGAGGAGGGGCAGAAAGAGGTGGAGGATGAGGGGCAGAGGTGGGAAAGTGGTCGGACCGGACGATAAATTGGAGAATGACCACGGACTGCATGAGCATTCATACCACCACGTCGGATTGACGCGATGCATCTTCTTCCCCACATTTTTGGGTCTGAGATTTTAGGATGGGGCCAAGTCTGCCTACCTACGGTTACTCTCGGAGCAGCTCATCAATTTTTGCAGTACACCGTCGTAGCAATACGAAGTGTGGCTAATTAAAACTTCAGGTTACGAAGCAGGCTTTCTCTGATCACAATGGAGCTCAGAGTAGATTAGAAAGGGTTTAAGTATCCAATGGTACCTAGCCACGAAAGCTAGTATAGAATTGGAACGAGTAGAAAAGGTAGTTTAAGGAAAATGATAATGAAGGTCAAAAGCCAAAGAAAAAAAAAAAGGATGAGAACAGCAACTGCTTGATACCTCAGCTAGTAAGTACCCTTGCTTCATGAGGAAAGGTAGGGAACGGAGCTCCGGCGGAGCTCGGACCCTCCCTGCTCGAACCGAATCCAACAGAGTGGATACATGCCTAGGTAGACCTTTTCCATCCAACTTTCATGACGCCCGACGCACTTCTTGGTTGACGCACTCGCCTCTCATTCCGTTTCAGTGCAAGTATGGTCGATTCCGATGAAGAGTATACAGGAGAAATCTCTGAGGATGAAGATGAAAGCAATATCTTATCAGGATCTCGTGGAGATACTGCGGGCGCATCCCGTTCGAAGAGGAGAAAGCACCGTGGAGGCGCAGAATGGGAAGTCTCGAGAACATGGGAAACCTTAGTTGAAGGTGCCGACGGCACAATCAGCTCTACAGTCGAAGGGCTTCTTGAAGCTGGGAAAAGGAAAAGGTAGGTTGTACTTTTAGGCCGGGTAGCTCTCAGTCCTGATTAACGGTTCGAGCTGAGTTTCCATGTCTTCACGCTTGCAGGCTCCTCAGAGATACGACTCCCTTACAACGGGGTATAATCCGCCATCTCATTCTGATCATAGATCTGTCACAATCCATGACCGAGAAAGATCTCCGACCCACACGCTATCTATTGTCCCTACGGTATGCACAAGAGTTTGTGAGGGAGTTTTTCGAGCAAAATCCCATTTCTCAACTCGGCGTTCTTGGTCTCAAAGATGGATTGGCGGTTAGAGTCAGTGATATGAGCGGAAACCCTACGGAGCATATCAGTGCCATCCAATCATTGCGAGACCAGGATCCGAAGGGTCTTCCTAGTTTGCAGAATGGCTTCGAAATGGCTCGTGGTGCTTTGTTGTATGTCTTCTCCGCGCTTGGTGCCGTATACACTAGATGATAAGAACGGGCTAACCTATCTTGCAACAGCCATACCCCAAGCCATGGCACCCGTGAGATTTTCGTCATATTTGGCTCCCTCCTTTCCTCCGATCCCGGTGATATTCACCAAACGATAACTACGCTCATCAACGACAAAATTCGTGTTGGAATCGTGGGCCTTGCCGCCCAAGTGGCCATCTGCCGCGAAATTTGTGGCAAGACTAACGGGGGTGATGATACCACATACGGTGTAGCACTCAATGAACAGCATTTCCGTGACCTTGTGATGAATGTGACAACACCGCCAGCCACCTACTCTCAGAAGCAGTCCACAAGCTCTCTCTTGATGATGGGTTTTCCATCACGAACAGTCGAGGCTTACCCTTCACTTTGTGCTTGCCATTCCAAGCCTTCTCGTGGGGGATATCTGTGCTCACGGTGTAACAGTAAGGTTTGTGGTCTCCCTGCCGAGTGTCCTTCCTGCGGTCTTACTTTGATCCTTTCAACCCACCTTGCTCGGTCATATCACCATCTGTTTCCCCTTATGAATTGGGTGGAAGTTTCGTGGCAACATGCCTCGCGCAGTAGTGTCTGTTTCGCATGTGGGATCTCCTTTCCACCAGTACCACCCAAGGAGCAGTGGCATATTTCAGAGGGACAGGCAAAGGGAATGAGCGTAAGCAGCCGGTATGAATGTACTGTGTGCAAAAACCATTTCTGCATTGACTGTGACCTTTTCGCTCATGAGGTTGTGCACAACTGCCCTGGCTGCCAAAGTAAGGTGATATTACCTACGAGCTCCGAGCCCTCTCAGAACCACGAAGCTCTAGACAGGATGGATACCTCTGCATGATCATATGGTTGATTGCGAATAATAAATCAATAGAATGGCCGTGGGGCTCACTTTCTCGGTCGGATGTGTAGATGCCCCCGCCATCGGTCTCGCTAGCGCGACCCAGTCTATTATCAGTCGAGCTGTCAAACTAACCGCCAGTCGAACAAAGTAACATAAAACCAGAGGCGGGCTATCATACCTCATAATAATTATCAATTGAAATGTCGGCGGATCAGGCCATCAAATTCTCTTAGACTATATTTCACCTGACCGAAAGGGTAACCACTAAAATCTAAGTCCGAGCCCTATGGAACGGCTTGTCGATATACTGGGGTTGCGAACACGAAATAGCAAAATGGCGATCTATAACTTGCCCCAGACGCTTCGATTCGTTCGCATCCGAATTCTCCGAACTGATTGATAAGGAGCTTGTGATAGAAATAATTCCATGAAACGAATTAACATTGGATAGGAAAGATCAGCCATGCTGCTAACGCCGATAGGCTCGAGTCTTAGCGGGAACCCCGCCAAAGGACCGAAGTACAAAGTATATAGGCTACGTCACAGCCTAGCTAAGCTAAGTATCCAAACTAGTTCCTAATCTTCAATCTACGTGGACCTCGGTTAATCTTGGGCCCGAGCACCCTTACAACGGACTTAACCACTGGCATCATTCACAAGGAGAGTGGACAACCGAGAAACAGCAACGGATTGCAAAGTAGAAGCGGTCGCTCTGTCTCAAGACACCGAGAGAATTTGCGCCTTCGCTTCGAGTGCCCAAGCCCGCGCAATATATTCTTTAAAACTACGTCTGAGCCCTCAAATAAGCCCATCGGGTAGTTTGAGCCTGCAGCAGTTTGTCACGAGATGGCGCAGCTTCAGCCCTCGGAGATTGAGCTATTTGAAAGATTGAGCTCATATCCCTTCAGCACGGACCGTGAATTTGCAGTTGGGCTTTCCATCATCCTAGGCCACCCGGAATCACCTGCGTCGGAAGAGGAAATCAATCGCAATGATGACCTTACCCTACAAGCTAAATGCTTCTACTTCTCAAGGTATACATACGATCTGTATCCACCCGTGATCCCCGGTATTGTAGCATATGCATATGCCACTGTATGATTATATACAAATACTGGTACTGATCTTTGTCACCATGCCTTGTTCGTTCTCAGGAAAGAAAAGCTCATGCCCCCACTCGAGTTCTCAACATACAAAGCATGGATAGAATCAGCATCAAAATCCAAGTCCGCCGACCTTTCATCACCAAGCCCAACAGTGAACGTTCCAAATTCTAAAGAGGAGCCTGCATATCCTTCATCCTTCGCTCATATAGTGGAACTCATCACAACCGGTCAACCCATTCCTGGAATTCAGCAAATTCCAGACACCGTCTTGACAGGCCATGACACTCCAAGCGAGAAGTCAGAAAGGCGCAAACCATGGGAAAAAGGAACAGCTAGTCAATGACGGGATTTTAGCTGCTCAGCGTTACACCCAGTGGCTGCAATCGCCCGGGATCTGGGGATCTACGTTCTCGATTAGAGGGCACTGGAGAAGTCCAGGGTTGTGGTCAGCATGCAAATATTACTATTCCTGCAAGCCGCAGAGTTGTGAAGGATAACAAGCATCGGACAAATGAGTGGTTGGTATGATACATCAGTTCATAATAAAAATATAATCCCGACAAGTAGGTGGGTTAGTAGTGTTCGCTTTCGTAAACCAAGCTCCTGACCTGCACAAGCAACTCATAACTGTAATTGTCGACCCATATAGAATCTCCATCAACTTCAATAAAAAAAAAGGTTATAGTTTCTGAGCCCATTTTGATGCTACTCGCTTGCTCGAATTTTTCCTTCATATTTCGTCTCCATTTTTCTTTTTTCATTCATTCCGGTGTATAAGGAGAGGAGGCGTCTTGGGGGGCATAAGCCGTTTAGCTCCTGCACAATGACTAGAATAGCGCGTATGAAGAAATATGCTAGACAACCTCACGTTGTCGAAACACGCTTCGAGATTCCGGATACCGGTATATGGGGTGCTCGATGCCTACCTGGGTCGACTTGAAAACGATACCTTTTGTGAATAAACAAGCATATGGCTAGAAGACGAAACGGAAAGGTACTCTCTCGAAATCCTTCAGCGAAATGGTGGATAATTAGGACTCCATTGGTTCCCTCGGCTGAAACGGCCTCCATGCTGTCCGGCAATCGGGAACCTGTCCTCATTGAAATTACCATAGCGACTGATTGGCATCCCAGAACCTGGTCCTGGGCGAGTTGCATGGGAGGGATTGCAGCAGAGCATGGCCACACGTGAACCAAACTTGGAACCCCGGAGAGATACCATGTGTTTCCTTCGTAGATACTCGATTAGGCCTGTGCAATGTCATAGTGAGGGGAAAGACGGTACCGAATATGGCTGGCAACCAGCTCACGCTGATGTGGTGCAGCATTCATCAAGATCCATTGGATTAGGTAGTTTCCATACTGGTCCCCAGCAACTATATTTTATCAGAAACCTTCAGTTCAAGCTGAGAAGGGTACTTTCAGACTTACTGTCAATCAGAGGCATTCTAGGACGGTCAGTTCGTCCCGTGCAAACTCGAGCAAGGTAGCGGTCCAAAAACTCGGTACCCCCTATCTTCAAACATTTCTCTACAATTTTGGAGGCGAACTGGTCCATGCTATAATCCACAGACCAAAGAATAATGTGCTCTATTGCACGACTCTTATCCTGAGGAGCACCATGCTCACAGATATGCTGGATGCACCAGTTTCCGAATTGACCGTGTGCAAGCACATCAATTTTCGCTAGCACTTCTTCGATCGCTGGACGCTGGAAACTTTGTCAGTATATTTCATCGTACAAATTATGGAACTTCCATTTAGGATATGTCAGGGTTTCAGGTTTTGGGGAGCTGCAATGGTTGAGAGGACGACAAGACGAGAGGCACAGTTTTTTGAATAGAATTGATCGTGGTAGGAATTGACGTATGAGAAAAAAAGTACCTTCTCATCCTCGACGCAGTTTTCGAAGATATTCTGGACTACCAAGCTCCCTGTCTCACCCAAGGCGACTTCATGCCACATCCCTCGCAGTGCTTCGTTGACTTTGGTCATTATCTGGGGTGGCTCCCCACTCCAACGTAATTCGAAGAGTTTTTGCCAGACATGGCAGGCATACCGGTGAATGACAGTTTCTGGAATTCTGCGTAGAAGCTCGTGGACCATGACTGCCTTGTGTTCTTCGGGAACACAATCAAACGCTTTCTGTATGACGTGGCAGCCAAAGGGATCCATACTGAGGCTTAACGTGTTTCCCTTGATCGCATTAGCGATTGACACGACTTGCTCTGGAGTCCCGTGTTCGAAGCATCGTTGCACTAGAAAGTTGCCAAACCGATTGACCATCAGGGGATAGGCTTGGTGTACTATGGCCTCTATGATATCATATTTCTGCTCTGTGGTCCCTACCTTCAGCTTCTGCTGCAGAAATATTGACGCTTGTTGATCATTGTTGCAAACAATTTTGTCAACGATATATTTCCAATCACAAGAGACATTCCTGTCGAGGAGCCGTCGGTAGTTGATTGGCTCGAGGGGCGAGATGTATGTTTGATGGGTGTTTCCTCCCGCCTGGCAACATAAGCGTGGCACTATAACAAATCAATTCGAGCTCCTACTCACCACAGAAGTTGACCATTGTGTTGCACTAGGGTTGGAAGCTGTGAACTCAGTCGCCGTGGGTGAAAGTGGTGTTCCAACCGGCCGCTGATGGTATTGAGGGATGGGAAACAGACCAACATGTTGGTAGGTGTTATTGGATCTATTCACAGGAGATCTAGGACCATGTGGGCCCGAAGAGCCAGGGGTAAATGCACTCCAAGCAGAGCTTTGTGGCTGAAAATAAGGTCCATTGCGGCTGGCTTGAGTGATCGAACGGCGAGGCCCAAGGCCGGGTCCTTCGAGAAACCTCACCTGTTCTTCCGGGAGTTTGGTGTCGAGGGTGTAACCCCCGCTGGAGGGCCCTGAAAACACACGATTCGATCGTAAAGCATCGTGTCCAGGTACACTGGTATTCGTGCCTGAGTTACCCCAAAACCGGTTCGAATCTCCGCCAAGTGAAGTAGCACTTGGCAAAGATATAGGCTCGCCATATGATCTTTCGATAATGGGGGCACTGAGAGCCGTACTACACACTTGCTGCGTGGGAGTATTCCAGTATCCCCGAGACCTATTGTAAGCCCCCGCGGAAAGCGCATCAGACATATCTGATTGCGAATCGTCCTGGGCATTCCATCCATCTTGAAACTGGCTATATGCCGGGTTGGATGAATTAAGGGCGCTCTGGAGATTACTTATCGTTTGTTCCGTGATGTCTCCATTGAAATCGGTTTCAGAGGGTGGCCCAAGTGCCTGGTCTAAGGTATGTTTAATCACGCGTGTCTGGGCCAGTTCCTGCTCCTGGAGGGCGATTTTAGAATTAGCGACAAGCAATTCTTGCTTTAAACGTAGTACCTCGCACATATCGACCGATACGTTGTCTGCTTTGCCAACATCGACCGAGTGCGAGACGTCCCTAAACCGCTGAATACTTGACGTTTTGATTAGCCCTGACTCGTCTCCTGAAATAATTCTGTGATTGGGAAACGTGTGATTGGATGTTCTAAGCAAATCCTGCTTGTCTGGCAAAGCCGCAATGAAATCTTGATCTACAGGATACTTCGGGATTGTCGACTGCGGCTTGGGCGAGAGCTTTGCTAGAAGTCTTTCCATCTCGGAGTGCCCACAGAAGTTGAAATTGCTTGAATGATCTAGCTTCTGCTTCTAGGATTGTGAGTGCCTTGAATATCTTGAGGTTTCTGGCGTATCTGACCTTGTTCGACGGGATGTCATGTTTGTCAACCCCAAAGATCTGGCAATCTCCAGCTTTGGAGGAGACTGTACAATCTGAAGGGCTGGTGGAAACATTCAAATGCTTAAGGCCCTGGGACAATGTAGTAAGCTATTTAGAGGAGAACAAGTCTGTGGCTGCTCTAGGTTGCCTTCATTCAGTTACTTACTGACGATTCACGTTCAACATATACTGCGTGTGTCGTAGCACTCGTGCCACTGTCAATGATACCCTCCTCACACTGCGTGCGTTCCGGATTGAGGGGGGCATCGGAGTGTGAAGACATTTTGGATAGTCACTTGAGAGCACTGCCACAGAATTCACAGTTTGCAAAGGTCGATAAACACAGGGTTTGACAGGAAAATAGCCGAAAGCACACTGGTGAGCAAATAGCGCGAGCTGTACGGAATCCAAATCCTCCACAATAGTTGAAGGCTGAATATGAAGGAGATAGCTAACAAATGACTGTAAGTGGGGAGGTACGTTCAATTAACTGTGGGACAATTCAGAAGGCAAATGGCAGTATCTGAAGACAGGGAAATCAAGGCCTGAATCTCGAACCAAACGCGTTACAAGGCCTGCGTCAAGGATCTGCAATCAAGGAAAGAGCGATGAAGACACCATTGCGGGGGTCAGCAAGAGAGTATGAAATTGAGAGCTGGAAGCCCTGCTCGAGAATCCATCTCCGAGGCACGTTGTGGTGCAATTGTCTTCTATTCCTGAAGAACATCTGTTGTTAGAATATAATCTTGCTACGAGTCAGTGACTCCCCTTATTTCTTAACCTAAACAGTGCTAAGAGTAATTAAAGAAACTGCTTTTCGCTTTGTTTATGCTCCTGGACAATACTACGGCTGAAGATTGCTTTGGTAATTTGTATCATTAGACCATGACAGGCAAGAATGATCTGCAGTGACGGTTCCAGTCCATGTGTACAGTAGCAGCGAATTCCCAAGATATGCAGTGGTGAAATTTGTTGATCAGAGAAAAAGAAAGAACAAGGGTGTACTGAGCGGCTGTCCCTCTAGTGGGGAGGCCTAGATTAACTGTTCCAGACCTCCTTCTACCTCCAAAATGTGTCTAGTAGGAAAGATAGACCCTCTCACAACATCACACTGTGATCTCATGTTGTATTATATCTCTTTGAATGTGTGTTGAGATTTTTGGGGAGTAAAACTTAGCCAATAAGCTACGCAATCCATACCAAACTTGAATATCGAAAATCATCTACTGTCCAGCTCAAATTAATTATATTCTCTGTTGCTCTAGTAGTAATAGTTTTGATCTTCCCGAATCTGTCAAAATTCATGGCAATCGACGGCATAGAGCGTTGGTGAAATTAGAATATCTCATGCTGACCAAGATTGACCCTAATAGCTAAAGACTTACTGTCCATGTATATACAAGTATATCGATATAGAGTGATTACATGTTATCTCTATACTACTCAACTTTCAAGTCAGAGCATTGAAACTGAGAGGGGAAAATACATATGGTATGGTGTGAAACTACCAAAATGTCTTCAAACGGAACAAACTCTTATTCATCTATCATAACATTCTAAGCGAGCTGTTATACTGCAGCCATCATTCAATGAGAAGAAATAGAGATAAGAGAGTCGCAGGTGTCCACGAGGAAACTTTGTAGCCGGAAGCCTGAAGACACCGGCAGCACAAACCATCTTTGTTAAAGCCTGCGAAGGCCACGATCCTACCTCTTCCCAGCTCTTTCCATTGAGTGGCGAGATGAAG